ATTAAAGTCTTAAATATAAGATCTGAGACTGTAAAACAACTACAAGAATACCTAGAGGAAAAGCTCCATGACATTGATCTAAGCAATGGTTATTTAGCTATGACCCCAAAAGCACAGGTAATAAAAGCAAAAATAGGCGCGACGGCTACCTGTAATCCCAGCACTTTGGGAGGCCGAGGCAGGTGGATTGCCTGAGGTCAAGAGTTCAACACCAGCCTGGTCAACATGGTGGAATCCTGTCTCTAGCAAAAAAATACAAAAAATAGCTAGGCATGGTGGCACACGCCTATAATCCCAGCTACTTAGGAGGTTGAGGTAGGAGACTTGCTTGAACTTGGGAGACAGAGATTGCAGTGAGCTGAGATTGCACCACTGCACTCCAACCTGGGTGACAGAGCAAGACTCCATCTCACAAAAATAAAAAATAAAAATATAAATAAATAAATAAATAAATAAATGCAAAAATAGACAAATGGGATTTTAGACAAAATACAAAGCTTTTGGACAGAAAGGAAACAATGAACAAAGTGAAGAGATAACCCATAGAGTGACAGAAAATGTATGTAAATCATACATCTGATAAGGGAGTAACATCTACAACAAATAAGAAACTCAAACAACTCAATAGCCAGAAAATAAATAACCCAATTAGGAAATGGACAAAGTGGGCTGGGCACACTCACTCTTGTAATCCCAGCACTTTGGGAGGCCAAGGTGGGCAGATCACCTGAGGTCAGGAGTTCAAGACCAGCCTGACCAACATGGAGAAACCCCATCTCTACTAAAAATACAAAATTAGCTGGGAGTGGTGGCACATGCCTGTAATTCCAGCTACTTAGGAAGGCTGAGATAGGAGAATCGCTTGAACCTGGGATGCGGAGGTTGTGATGAGCCAAGATCGCGCCATTACACTCCAGTCTGGGCAATAAGAGCAAAACTCCATCTCAAAATAAAATAACATAAAATAGGCAAAGTGGCCAGGTGCAGTGGCTCACGCCTGTAATCCCAGCAGTTTGGGAGGCCGAGGCAGGCAGATCACTTGAGGTCAGGAGTTTGGGACCAGCCTGACCAACAAGGTGACACCTCATCTCTATCGAAAAATACAAAATTAGCCGGGTGTGGTAGCTTGTGCCTGTAAAGGAAAAAGGAAAGGAAAAGAAAGGAAAGTAAAGGAAGGAAAGGGGCAAAGCATCGGAAGAGACATTTCTCAAAAGAAGACATTCAAATGGCCAACAGGTTCAAGAAAAAAAATGCTGAGCACCACTAATCATTAGGAAAAACAAATTAAACCACAATGAGATATCATCTTACATCTGTTAGATTAGATGTTATCAAAAAGACAAGAAATAAGTGTTAGTGAGGATGCAGAAAGAAGAAAACCCTTGTACAATGTTGGAGGGAATGTAAATTAGTACAACCACTGTATTGGTCTGTTCTCATGCTGCTAATAAAGACATACCCGAGACTAGGTAATTTATAAAGTAAAGAGGTTTAATGGACTCACAGTTCCACATGGCTGGAGAGGCCTCACAATCATGGCAGAAGGTGAAAGAGGAGCAAAGGCACCTCTCACATGGCAGTAGGCAAGAGAGCATGAGCAGGGGAACTGCCCTTTATAAAACCATCTTATCTCATGAGACTTATTCACTACCATGAGAATGGCATAGGGTGGCCCACAATTCAATTACCTCCCACCAGGTCCCTCCCACAACACATGGGGATTATGAGGGCTGCAATTCAAGATGAGATTTGTGTGGGGACACAACAAAGCCAAATCAACCACTATGAGAAATAGTATGGGGTTTCCTTAAAAAACTAAAATTAGAACTAAACTACTATATCATCTAGCAATTCCACTTCTGGGTATATATCCAAAAGAGATCAATATGTCATATCAGTATGTCAAAAAAATACCTGCACTCCCATGTTCATTGCAGCACTTTTCACAATAGCCAAGATACGGAATCAACCCAAGGGGCCATCAATGGATGAATGGATAATGAAAATGTGGTGTATATACTTAACGGAATACTATTCAGCCTTAAAAGAGAAAAAAATCCTGTCATTTGGGACAACATAGACAAATCTGAAAGATATTATACTAAGTGAAATAAGACAGGCATGAAAGAAAAATACTGCATGATCGTATTTATATATGGAATCATAAAAAGTCAAACTCATGGAATTAGAAAGGGCTGGGCGTGGTGGCTCACACCTGTAATCCCAGCACTTTGGGAGGCCAAGGCAGGAGGATTCCTTCAGCCCAGGAGTTCAAGACCAGCCTGGGCAACATAGTGAGACCTCATCTCTACCAAAACAAAAAAAAAGTTTTTTATTTGATTTCGTTTGATTGATTTTTTGAGACAGACTCACTTTGTTGCCCAGGCTGGAGTGCAGTGGCGCAACCTCAGCTCACTGCAACCTCCGCCTCTCAGGTTCAAGAGATTTCATGCCTCAGCCTCTGGAGTAGCTGGGATTACAGGCACGTATCACCATGCCCAGCTAATTTTATATTTTCAGTAGAGACACGGTTTTACCATGTGGGCCAGGGTGGTCTTGAACTCCTGACCTCAGGTGATCCTCCCGCCTCGGCCTCCCAAAGTACTGGCATTACAGGCATGAGCCACTGCATCCGGCCAAAAAGAGGTTTTTAAGAAGAAGTAGAAAGGAGAATGATGGTTACCAGAGGCTTAGAGGGTGGGGTGGGGAATGAGGGAGAGAGAATGGGAAGTTATTGGTCAAAGGGGTTCCAAGTTTCAGTCAGACAGGAGGAGTAAGTTTTGAGATCTACTGCACAGCACAGTGACTATAGCCAATAATATATTGCATACTTCAACATAACTAAAAGGGTAAATTTTAAATCTCTCACCATAAAAATTATAAGTGAGGTGGTAGATATGTTAACTGGCTTGATTTAATCATTCCACAGGTGTACACAGATCAAAACAGCACACTGCACCTCAGAAACGTACACAATTATGATGTATCTATTTGAAACAATATTAATAAAATTTTCAAAGAAAAAAGAATATTTGATGGCATAGGAAATTCCAGTTACATACAATATAATCCCAATTGTTTAAAATATATCATTATAAAACTAAGAGCAGATGATCAGGAACACAGATTCTGCAGTCAGACAGACTTAGGTTTAGTCTCAGGTCTACACTGGTTGCTACTGGAGCTTAGATGAGTCTCTCAGCTCTTTAGTTTCATTACCTCCTCATCTGAAAAATATCATCTCCCTCATGAGTCATTATGGAGATTAATGAATGCATACATAATATACCTATCACCATCCCTGGAACATTGCAAGCAGTAAATAAATATTATTATTATAATGATTATATCCACATTATAAATTCTTCACATACTGATGCTGTGGGTAATCAGTTCCCAAGAGATTTGAATATAATGACATTCTCTTCATACTAAAATGAACTGGCCATAACATACTCATGCAGAGATTCAGGTAAGAACAGTCTTACCTGCCTTTAAGAGGGCTACCAAAATTGCAAATGCATGTAACCCTTTTACTTAGCAATCCCACTTGCAAGAACATCTCTTACAGAAATGCCTTCACATATGTGAAATAACATTCACTCTTCACTTTTGTGTAAGATTTTTTTAAAGACAAATGTACCTTAAAATAGGATACTGTGCTGCTATGCAAAGGTCTCCAAGATACATCATACAGCAAGAAAAGTAAGATGAGTACCAGTATAAGTGAAACGATACCTTCAGTGGAAAATAACTTTACACATTGTGTTTGCATAAGTAAACACTGGAGGAATAACAAAAATCAACACATGTGGTTACTTCAGGGAGCACGAACTGTTTGGGGGAACAGGAATGGGACTTAGACTCTTCGCTGTAAGTCTTTTTATGTTACCTGACTTTTTAAAACTTTCACTGATGTATAATATACACATAGAAAATTGTACATAAGTATAGCACTGAATTTTTTTTTTGAAACAGATTCTCACTCTGTCGCCCAGGCTGGAAGGCAATAGAACAATCTTGGCTCACTGCAACCTCTGCCTCCTGGGTTCAAGCAATTCTTGTGCCTCAGCCTTCCAAGTAGCTGGGATTACAGGCATGCACCACTACACCCAGTTGATTTTTGTATTTTTAGTAGAGATGGGGTTTCAACATGTTGGCCAGGCTGGTCTTGAACTCCTGACCTCAGATGATCCACCAGCCTTGGCCTCCCAAAGTGCTGGGATTACAGGAGCGAGCCACCACGCCCGGCCCACCACTGAATAAATTTTTAGAAACTGAACACAACTGCATGATCAGGCCTGTTAATGAAGCAGAACATTGCCAACCTCCCCAGAAGTCCCCTTCATGATTACTTCCAGCCTCTCCACTTCCCCAACAAAAACAATCATTTCTAATACGTATTCTTCTGTGTCTGACTTCTTTTGCCTAAATCGTTTGAAGAGTTCTCCATTTTGTAGTGAGTAAATTCATTTCTGGTGCCAGATATTACACTGTAATTTATTTGTAATTTATTTTCCAGTCTACGGTGATGGGCATTTGGGTTGTTTCTAATGTGGCACTATTACAAATACTAATCCTTTTTTTTTTTCTTTTGAGATGAAGTCTTGCTGTGTTGCTCAGGCCGGAGTGCAATGGTGCAATCTCAGCTCACTACAACCTCTGCCTTCCAGGTTCAAGCGATTCTCCTGCCTCAGCCTCCTGAGTAGTGGGATTAAGGCGCGCACCACCACACCTGGCTAATTTTTATATTTTCACCATGTTGGTCAGGCTGGTCTCAAACTCCTGACCTGGTGATCCACCTGCCTTGGCCTCCCAAAGTGCTGGGATTACAGGTGTGGGCCACTGTTCCTGGCCACGAATACTAATTCTATCAATATTTTTGCTCTTATCTTTTAGTAAGCGTATTCTTCTTGGGTTTGAGTTAGTCTATGGTCCTAGCTCATTTGTGGGGCTCAAAGGCACTTTCCTGAGCAACCCTCCAGTAATAATCCTCCTACCTCTTTATCCTCCAAGGGAATGTAGTGCGGGAAGCTGGTCCCAAGCTGCTGAGGAATTAATAACCGGAACTTGTTGTATGCTTCAGAGACAACCTTGGCCACACTGGATTGGAATGGCTGTTTATCAATCAACATGCAGTAATCCTTGATGTCCCAGATCTAGACACAACATGTGGGTTAGTGGCCTCACACCCCTTGACCCAGACCCCAACTCACTCTGTGGGCTCCTCCCAGAACATTCCTCTTCATTTGGTGGGGGTTAGGGGTAGTTCTTACTTACATCTCTGAGATACCTCACCACTAGGGCCAGAAAGGGCCTTAGGGATCTTCTAGGCCAGACTCATGGATTAGCAGGCAGGAGGGTGTGACCAGCTCAAGGACAGCACACCCCTGCCTCATGTCTTGCCACAAGGCACAAAATCAGCTCCTGAGACAGCTGATCCTAGATTAGCCACACGACTGGGGGATGAGGGAGTTGGAGAAGACAGTGATGGAGCATGGAATTCTCCGGGGAAGGCTTCTTGGAGGGGCTTTTTGAACCAAGTCCCTGTCACTGAGCTTAGCAGAGCAGGAGAGGACTCCTAAGGTAATCCACCCTCCTCCCTGCATTGTTTTACAAATGGAACCAGTACCCAGAGGGAGTAGGAACTAGGCAAGGGCCATGTGCAGTGAAGAGGTGGTTGGACACTTGGCTGGCACCAGCTTCTCAATCTTCCTGCCAGTTCTTCCTCACCTTGATGTATCCTTTACAATCCCCCGTGATGAGGATCCAGTCATTTTTATCAGTGGCCATGGCACCCACAACAACATTTTCATTGTCTAGGTCCACAGGGAACTTCCCCAGCAGGCCTCCGCTCCCGTGGAGGGACCAGGCGTAGATGTAGCCGTCCATGCAGCTGCTCAGCAGGGCAGCCGTGTATGGCAGGCGAGGCCTGGTCTGCAGGAAGATTATCTGAGGAAGACAGGAGGGCCCAGCTCAGCAGGGCTGTGAGCAAGTGTCACATGGTGCTGAGGGACCCCAGCGAGTCACCACACCCACCTGGTCGCCCAATTTCCTAGATGGCCAGTGAAAGTGGTGATGGTGGTCCCACCCTTCCTACCCGGCTGGTGACAAGGAACATCATACTGGACTATGAACTACTAGAGGGCAGGGATTTTGTGTCTTTTTTGTTCACTACTTTGTCCTTAGTAACCACAATGGTGCCTGACACATAATACATGATCAATAAATGTTTATCAAATGAAGGCTTACAAGTTTGATTCCACATAGGCTCAGACAAGATTTTCACAACCTGTAACTCAATTCAAAGTGATTTGGGGAAGGAACTCATTCCCCTTCATGTACATCTATAGTGAAATACCCATATTTTCCAGCTAATCATCAAGAAAGCATTTTAAACAAATTCTTGTTCAAAACTTGTTTTGATCATATGCCGTTTGCTAATTCCCCACTCTGCTCACTTTTCCCTTACATGTCACTCCTGTGGCTCATGTGGGGGCCACAGTGGGAAGTTACTCTGCATGGCAACCATGAGAAGAAAGTTTCTTGCCTGGCACCCAGTAGGGGGCTGAGAGCATAGCCAGGGTGGTAGAGCAAATCAGGCCAGAAAGGGGAAATTGGAAGCTTCCTCACTCCTGCTAACTCAGAACTTTACAGTGTAATAGCTTATGTGTCCCCAAAGCATGTCACCACCACCAACAAAAATCTGGATTATCAAAAATCTCATGGTGGCTCATGCCTGTAATCCTAGCACTTCAGGAGGCCAAGGCGGTTGAATCACTTGAGCACAGGAGATCGAGACAGCCTGGGCAACATAGTGCGACCCTGTCTCTATTTAAAAAAAAAAAAAAAAAGAAGGGAAGGGGAGGGGAGGGGAGGGGAGGGGAGGGAGAAAAAAAAAAAGAAAAGAAAAAAATCTCAATTATCCTTATTGTCATAGAAATCCGAAACTAGCTGTTCAAACTGCTTCCCACTAGCCCCAGTGCCAGGGTCAAAAACCAGAAGTCACTTGTACCCAAAGCTTGATGGCTTCACTGGTGAATTCGACCAAACATTTAAGGAAGAATGAATACCAATCCTTCTCAAACTTTTCCAGAATACTAAAGAGGAGATAACACTTCCTAACTCATTCTATGAGGCCAGCATTACCCTGATATCAAAGTCAGACAAAGACACTATAAGAAAAAAAAAAAAAACTACAGAGAAATATCCCTTATGAACACTGATATTTAAAAATTCTCAAAAAAAAAATTAGCAAACTGAATTCAGTAGCATATTAAAAGGATTATATACCATAATCAAGTAATATTTATTCCTGGAATGCAAGGATGATTCAACATACAAAACTCAATAAATATAATATACCACTTCACAGAAAAAAGAAAAAACCCACGCGATCATCTTAATTGATGCAGAAAACGATTTGACAAAATTTAAAAAATATATGAATAGAAGGAAATTACCTCAACATAATAAAAGCCATATATGAAAAACCCACAATGAACATCATACTCAGTAGTGAAAGACTGAAAGCTCTTCCTCTGGAATTAGGAACAAGGCAAGAATGTCCACTTTTGCTGCTTTTATTCAGCAGAGTAGTGGAAGTTCTGCCAGAGCAATTAGGTAAAAAAAGAAATAAAAGGCACCCAAACTGGAAAGAAAGAAGTAAAATTATAAGTTTGCAGATGATATTATATGTAGAAAACGCTAAAGCTCCCACACCAAAAAAAGGGGGCTAATAAATGAATTCAGCAAAATGGCAGGATACAAAGTCAACACATAAAAATCAGTTGCATTGGCCGGGCATGGTGGCTCACGCCTGTAATCTCAGCACTTTGGGAGGCTGAGGTGAGTGGATCACTTGAAGTCAGGAGTTCGAGACCAGACTGGCCAACATGGTGAAAGCCCATCTCTACCAAAAAATACAAATATTAGCCAGGTGTGGTGGCAGGCGCCTGTAATCCCAGCTACTCGGGAGGCTGAGGCAGGAGAATCGCTTGAACCTGGGAGGCGGAGGTTGCAGTGAGCCGAGATCATGCCATTGTACTCCAGCCTGGGCGACAGAGCAAGACTATCTCAAAAAAAAAAAAAAAAAAAAAAATCAGTTGCATTTCTGTATACTAACAATGAACAATCTGAAAAGGAAATTACAAAAATTTTAAAAAGCCCTGACTCCAGTATCCCAAGTGGCTCCATCCTCTCCAAGACGCCTTGGGCACTGGGGAGAATCAGGCCAGGCCCTGAGCCCAGGCCCCCAAGCCCCATCTTAATGGCCCACTCCCCAGCTCATATCCCACTCCCTGGCTGATCACAGCCAACCTTCTCCACCGAGGCACTGGACTGAAACAACATATTCTTCTGCAATTCTGCTTTTCTTGTTTCATCCTCTTTGTAAATGGACTGTTTGCTGTGGATCTTGCCTGGCTGCATGGATGTGTCAGCAGCACTGGAAGGTTTCTGGAAAGAAAGATGGGCACCCAAGTCACCATGAGGGTGTTTCCCTTCCCCATGGGGGACCAGAGACCAGAGGAAGATGACAAAGAGCGACCCTCCCAAGGCCCCGCAGTAGGCACACTGCCCTGGAAAAAGCAGCACTCAGTGGATCCCGGGAAACCTCCACTTTAAATTCCCAGCAGTTCTGCTAGAGCAAAATTGGGGCAGAGACTTGAGTTTGCCTTTGGGGAAGACCCTTCCTTTGTCCTGGAAGAGACCATCCTGGTTAAAAATGAGGATAAAGGTCGGGCATGGTGGTTCACACCTGTAATCCCACCACTTTGGGAGGCCGAGGCGGGCAGATAAGAGTAACTCCTCCTTCTCTTTCTCCCTATTCGCCGCAAAATAGAACTGTCAGCCATTCTTGGAAGGGCTGGTCCTGGGGCAGAGATGAGGCTCAGAGGAGGAGGAAAGTGGTTTGTCTGTATCTGGGTCTCAGACTCTTGCAGCCTGGTCTCCGAGCAGGTGAGGCCCCCATGGCTCCCTCTGCACCTGGGCCAAGGTCAGGTGACTTGCGCTTGAGGACTGAGAATGCAGTCCAGGATCTAACTTCCAATTTTAGGTTTTCAGGGTTGTGTTCTCTTTGGTTTCTGCCTTTCACTTTCTCATCTGTCCAATGAGGATAATTACAGAAACTAACCACCTACGTAACCAAGCTCCCCACCCCCTCCAGAACAAGTTGCCATTATTCCTCCTGCTTCCCAGGGTGCTCCCCACCTTCCCTGCCCCACAGGATTCTGGTTCACAGCTGAGAGAAGGGTGGGAGGAGTGTGTGCTTCTGTTAACATACCCTCTTGGGCTGCAAGGGCAAGGGACTCCTAGAGGCGTTGAAGTTGAAGATGGGCTTGAGTGTGCCGGTGTTCCAGAAGAGGATGTCCCCACTGTAGGAGGAGGTCCCGAGGAACTGGTTCTGGTACTTGGCCATGCTCAGGATGTCCTCCGTGTGGTAGGTCTGCCAGTGGTAGCATAAGAGCACCGGCTTGGTCTTGTGGAACCTGTGCACATGGCCAGAGGCAGGAGGGCTGAGAGCTCAGCCTTTAATGCTCCATCCACTGGGGAAGCACTGGAGCCTTGAGGATTCTGGGAGCCAACTCAGAGGAGGATACTCCTAGGTGTCAGGGCTAGGCTGAGGCCATGTCCCATTGACCTCATTTACTAAGCGTTTACTACGTGCCTTCTGCAAAGGCCCTGTCGTAGGGGCTTTACATAAACTAATCCTACGGATAATGAATGCGTAACATACCCCCAGTCAGACAACTAGGTAAGGATTAAGGTTTAAAGGGGGGGGAAACAGTGGCCTTACAGAGGTCCCTAAAAAGAAAGGGATCTTGAACATAGTGTTCCTTCTGCCTGGAATGCTCATCCTATCCTAAAGACTTCACAGAGACCCTTCCTTCTCACGCTTCAGATTGCACTCCAGCCACCATACCTTCACCAAGACTTTCCTGACCACTGCCCCCAAGAAGAAATCAGGTTTCCACGCATTCAACCCTCATAGAAACCCCTTCTTTTCCATGGCACTTAATATACTTTATAATTATAAATGAAAGTATTAATATTTGATTAGTACCTGCCTTCTTGATATAGACTGAACATTCATATTCTCCAAAAATTTATGTTAAAACCTAATCCTCAATGTGAGAGTATTCACAGGTGTGGCCTTTGGAAGGTTATTAGGATAGACGGGCAAAACCCTCACAAATGGAATCAGTGCCTTTATAAAAGAGGTCCTAGGCTAGGCATGGCGGCTCATGCCTATAATCCCAGCACTTTGAGGGGCCAAGGAAGGAGAATTGTTTGAGGCCAGGAGTTCAAGACCAGCCTGGGCAACAGAGCAAGACCACATCTCTACAAAAAAAAATTTTAATTAGCCAGGCATAGTGACACACACTTGTAGTCCTAGCTATTCAGGAGGCTGAGGCAGACGGATCACTTGAGCCCAGGAGTTCAAGGCTGCAGTGAGCTGTAATTATGCCACCACACTCCAGCCTGGGCAATAGAGCAAGATCCTGTCTCTTAAAAAAATAAAACAAAAATAAGAGGCTCAAAGAGATCCCTTGTCCTCTTTACCATGTAAGAAAATGGCCATCTATGAACCAGGAAGTGGCCCTCAGCAGTCACTGAATTTGCCAGTGCTTTGATCTAAGAATTTCCTTCAGAACTGTAAGAAATAATTTTCTGTTGTTATAAGCCACCTATTCTATGGTATTCTGTTATAACAGCCTGAGTGAACGAAGACAGAAATTGGTACCAGGGGTGGGGTGCTATGGTAACAAATACCTAAAAATGTCAGAAGTGGTTTTAGAACCAGGTAATGTCAGCTAGGCAGGGTGGCTCACGCCTGTAATCCCAGCACTTTGGGAACTGAGACCGGTGGATCACTTGAGGCCAGGAGTTCAAGACCAGCTTGGCCAACATGACGAAACCCTGTCTCTACTAAAAATACAAAACATTAGCCAGCTGTGGTGGCACACACTTATAATCCCAGCTACCTGGGAGGCTGAAGCACGAGAATCACTTGAACCTGGGAGGTGGAGGTTGTAGTGAGCCAAGACTGCACTACTGCACTCCAGCCTGGGCCATAAAGCAAGACTCTGTCTTTAAAAAAAAAAAAAAAAAAAAGTAGGTAATAGGTAGAGGATGGAAGGTCCATGCTAGAAAAAGCCTGCATTGCTACGCATAGACCATTAAGGGTGATTTCAGTGAGGGCCTAGAAAGAAAAGAGGACAGATGCAGAGAAAGCCTCAGTATTCTTAGAGAATACCTAAGTAATCCTGAACAGAATTTTAGTAGAAATATGGATGTTAAAGACCATTCTGGTGAAGTCTTGACAGAAATGAGAAACATGTTATTGGAAACTAGAGGAAAGGTCCTACTTGTTACAAAATGGCAAAGAACTTGGCTGAATCATATTTGTGTTCTAGTGTTTTGAGGCAGGTAGAACTTGCAAGATAAGAAATTGGATATTTCACTGAAGAAATTTCTATGTAACATAATGAAGGAGTTGCCTGATTCCTCCTAACAACTTATAATAAAATGCAACGAGAGAAATGGTTTAAAAACCAAACTGTTAATCAAAAAGGAAGCAGAATCCAGGAGCACATGCCTGTAACCCAGTACTTTGGGAGGCCAAGACAGGAGGATTGCTTGAAGCCAGGAGTTTAAGACCAGCTTGGGTAACATAGCAAGACCCCATATCTATAAAAAAAATTTTTTAATTAGCCAGGCATGGTGGTATGTGCCTGTAGTCCTAGCTACCCTGGAGGCTGGGGTGGGAGGAGCTGAGGCTGCTGTGAGCTATAACCGCATGACTACACTCCAGCCTGGGTGACAGGGTGAGACCCCGTGTCTTGGGGAAAAAAAAAAAAAAAGGAAGCAGAACTTAAAAGATTCATCCTATCTATATAGAAAGGAATGAGAAAGCCTGTTCAGAATAGAACATTGATATGGTTTGGCTCTGTGTCCCCACCCAAACCTCATCTTGAATTGTAATCCCTATATGTCGAGGGAGGGACCTGGTAGGAGGTGAATGGATCATGGGGGCAGTTTCCCTCATGCTGTTCTCATGATAGTGAGTGAGTTCTCACAAGATCTGATGGTTTAAAAATGGCAGTTTCCCTTGCACTCTCTCCTGCCACCATGTAAGATGTGCCTTGCTTCCCCTTCACTATGATTATAAGTCTCCTGAGGCCCCTTCCTAGCCATGCAGAACTGAGTCAATTAAACCTTTTTTCTTCATAAATTACCCAGTCTCAGGCATTCTTTATAGCAGTGTGAAAACAAACTAATACAATCATTAAAGACAATAGCCAAGCACTGTTTGATGAGATTAGTATGGATCAGCCAACCCAACAGAAGCCAGTGCTATTCTCCAAGACAATGAAAGAATGACCCTGAAGGCAATTCAGAGATCATTAGGACTGTCCCTCCCATCACCAGCCCAGAGTACAAGGGCCCTGGGGGCAGAATGGTTTCAAGGGAATGGCCACCAGTGCCCATGGGACCACAGTACACTTTACCATCATCGCCTAACTTCACAGGCTCCATTCTTCATGCTCCTTGACCACTCTAGGTGTGGCTCCTGTGGACCATGGTACAGCATGGGTTGCACTCAGCAGAGCAGGGAGGACACGGCTGCCTCCACTGCCTAGATTTCAAAGGACAGGGCCTCCCAGCAGAGCCACAGCCTTGGAATTGCAGCCCCACAGGGCCAGGGGGCTCATGCAAGGAAGTGCCACAGGGGCAGGGCCCAGGCATAGAGCCACCAGGGGGGCAAGGCTCCCCAAATCTGTAGGTGTAGGGCTGCCCAGAGTCTTAGGGTTCTGATCACCTGCCTGGCAAAGCTGCAGGGGCAGAACTGCCACCCCAGCAGGCCTGAAGGGCAGGGCAGCAAGCCGAAGAGGATTATCTTTGAGATTTAAGGTCTACTAGTATTTGCCCCGATGGATTTTTTACTTGCTCAGGACCTGTCCCTCCTTTCTCCTTTCCTATCTCTCCCTTGTATCTATCCTATGCCTGTCCCACCATTCTATTTTGGAAGTACGTAACATGTTAGTATCACAGGTTCACAGCTAGAGGGGAATTCGCTTCAGAATGAATTGTACCTTGAGACTCACCCATATTTTATTTAGGTGATATTTAGATGATATTTTGGACTTAGACATTAAAGTTGATACTGGAACAAGTTAAGACTTCGGGGGCTACTGGGATTAAATGAATATATTTTGCATGAGAGAAGGACATGAATTTTGGGAAGTCAGGGATGGAATGCCATAGATTGAATTTTGGTCCCAAAATTCATATATTGAAACCTAATCCCCAAGGCGAGCATATTTGGAGGTGGGGCCTTGGGAGGTGATGAGGTCATGAAAATGGAGCCCTCATGAATGGGATTAGTGCCCTTATAAAGGACGCCCCAGAGAGATTTCTTACCCCTTCCACCATGTAAGCTTACAGTAAGAAGACAGCTGTCTATGAATCAGGAAGTGGGCCCTCACCAGGCAGCAAATCTGCTGATGCCTTGTCTGGAACTTCCCTATCTCCAGAACTCTGATAAATAAATTTATGTTGTTTATAAGCAACTCAGTCTATGATATTCTGTTACAGCAGCCCGAATGGACTAAGACATTCCCCCACTGAACTAGATACTCCAAAAGGATAAAGACTCCAACATTCTTATTTATACCCATCCCAGGCACCTAGCAAAAGGCCAAGAATATATTAGCCTCAATGAATAATGAATGAATGGATGGATGAGCAGATGAAGCAACAGTCATTAACCACCACTAACTTCCTGCATGGTGTTCCAACCACCAGGAAAGCTCGGAATGGAGGAACCCATCTGAAGAGAGAACACGCAGCTACTGGGACCTACTCACCATGCATGCTTTCTACTCACAGAAAATGCGTGATTCTCTTACTCCATCCTGTCACATAGAACACTTTGTTCATATGGATAATCCCACTAATCTGTTGAAAATAAAACAGAATTAGAAAACTTCTCAGAGAAAATGGCTCTGGGCCCTAAATGCCTTCCTAAAGGTGCCAAGCAAGAAGTCAAACCTCTCAATGATGATGAGAATTGCCTACAGTTGATACCACCATGTATTTTTCATCATGCTCTCACATCCTATTCCCTCATTTGATGGACTTAGGGTAGGCAGATAGGATAGGCATCCATGTCCATTTTTCAGAGAGAATAGCTGGGAAATGGGCAAGTGACCTGGCTAAGGTCAAGTCATTACTGAGTGATAGGATCTGGAGCAGTACTCAACCCCTGGCATCTTGGCTAAGTACACTTTCTTTTCTTTTCTTTTCTTTTCTTTTTTTTTAAGATGGAGTTTCACTCTTGCAGCCCAGGCTGGAGTGCAATGGCGCGATCTCGGCTCACTGCAGCTTCCACCTCCCAGTTTGTCCTGCCTCAGCTTCCCGAGTAGCTGGGATTACAGGCAGCCACCACCATGCCTGGCTAATTTTTTTTTTTTTTTTTTTTTTTTTTTTTTTTGTTACAGCTGTTCTTTTTTTTGTATTTTCTGATAGAGATGGGAGTTAATTTTTTTTTTTTTTTTTTTTTTTTTTGTATTTTCAGTAGAGATGGGGGTTTCACCATATTAGCCAGGCTGGTCTCGAACTCCTGGCTTCAGGTGATCCCCCTGCCTCGACCTCCCAAAGTGCTGAGATTACAGGCATGAGCCACTGCCTGGCCAGCTAAGTACACATTCTGAGTTGGTTAAAAGTCTGTGTCACAAAAGTTAGGGTGGAACTGCTGGCTTTGTCCTATGCCACTCCCATGGACTGGCCCTATAATAATACTGTCAGGCATTTCCCAAATAGGGGTGACCATGGGTGGCTGTGAATTAACTGATCCCACTGCTAGAAATGCAGTCCAAAGCTCCAGTATGAGGAATGAGAAGTGCTAGCAAATTTAAAGAGCAACAGTAGCTAACCTTAGTGGAAACCCATTAGTCCAGGCACTGTTAGCTGTCTTCATTTCATGCCTGAGACACAGAGGCTCCGGGAGGTTTGAAGCCAGGCCACCTGACTATGATGAACACCCTTTCAGAGAGGTCCAAAAATAGTGCATCCCAGGGTCACAAGAGCTGTGCTTTGCTTCCCAAGAGGCTGTCCCTGGCTCTAGTTAACAAGTAAGACTGACCTCCAGCTGGTCCGGATTGGGAAAGGTCAACAGGCATTTGCCAATGTTGTAGTTCCACATCTTCATTGTGCCATCCCGCAAACCTGTGAGCAGGCACCGCTCTGACTCATCCAGGGCCATGGCAGTCAGCTCCACGTGCTGGCCCCCAGACACAGAGAACTCCATCGTCTTCCTGCCCGTCACGACCTCCCACACACTCACGGTGCCGCGCAGGCAGCCACTCACCACCTGTGGAGAGCACACAGCTGGGGGCTGCTGGAGAGGCTGGGGACTCCACTCCCAAGGGTGGTCTCTAGCCTGCCTTGGCCCCTCCCCTCCACCCACTGAAAAAACAGACGTTCAGGGCCCCCTGCTATAGCATAAGCCACTCTTGAAAACAGGACCTCCTCTGCCCTGTATCACAGGGCAGTGCAAACTGGAACATTTGGTGAAGACCTGTTAACTCAGAAATGGCACTTACCAGGATCTAGCCAAAGAAAATAATCCCTATGTGGAAAAGACATTACTGAAGCAACATTAATCGTGACCACCCCGTCAAAAAAATAAGAAATAAACTAACTGCTCCTAAGTAGGGAAATGTTGAGAATAAGGATGGTCATGCCACTCAATGAAACATTTTGCCACCATGACCATTGTTATAATGCAAGAATAGCAGGTGAGGCCAGGTGCAGTGGCTCATGCATGTAATCCTAAAACTTTGGGAGGCCGAGGTGGGTGGATCACTTGAGGTCAGAAGTTTGAGACCAGCCTGGCCAACATGCTGAAACCCTGTCTCTACTAAAAATACAAAAATTAGCCAGGGGTGGTGGTGCATGCCTGTAAGCCCAGCTACTTGGGAGGCTGAGGCAGGAGAATCACTTGAACCCAGGAGGCAGAGGTTGCAGTGAGCCAAGATCCCACTGCACTCCAGCCTGGGCAACAGAGCAAGACCCTGGCAAAAAAAAAAAAAAAAAGTACCGGTGAGGTGGTTTTGGACCAACCCTCCCTAATGAGAACATCTAGAAAAGCTGAGAAATTTTTTTTTTTTTTTTTGAGACGGAGTCTCGCTCTGTCGCCCAGGCTGGAGTGCAGTGGCCAGATCTCAGCTCACTGCAAGCTCCGCCTCCCAGGTTTACGCCATTCTCCTGCCTCAGCCTCCCAAGTAGCTGGGACTACAGGCGTCCGCCACCTCGCCCGGCTAGTTTTTTGTATTTTTTTTTAGTAGAGATAGGGTTTCACCGTGTTAGCCAGCGTGGGTTTCACCGTGTTAGCCAGGGTGGTCTCGATGCCCTGACCTCGTGATCTGCCCGTCTTGGCCTCCCAAAGTGCTGGGATTACAGGCTTGAGCCACCGCGCCCGGCCTTTTTTTTTAATTCTAAAGAAACTTTTTTAAGGTACTGAAGAGCCTAAGCCCTAAGGCAGTGAGAGATGGTGGTGGCAGGAGCCAGGATGGGAGAGAAGCCCAGAATGGGGGGCTCCAGGCTTGTACACCCAATGCAGCGCCCCTGTCCACAGCCTGGGCCAGACAAGAGGCCCCAGTGGGTGGGAGTGAGCAGAGGGCCTCAGGCAGCAGCCCCTCCTGTCCTCACACCTCAGAAGCAACTCCTCATGCCCAGCTGCCCTGTCCAACCCAGAGACTCCACGCAGGACCAAGGTGCTGCCTGCGCCTGGGCCTCCCTCCCTTCCTACAATGAACAAAGCCAAGTTATGGCTTCCCTGGAAAGAGATGCCCAAGAACAGCACCCACCCTGGGAACCTAGGAAAGCACCCCACAACTAGCCCTCCGTCTCACACTCCATGGAAAGAAGGCCCGGTCCAGAGCCGACCCAAGGCGCTCAGCCAAGGGCCTGAGGCTCAGGGGAGTTAGGCGAGCCCATGGCTAATGGATAGAGCTCCGAGCTGATCCCATGCCAGCCCATCTGCAGAGCTGCTTTCTGTGTCTATCCCACTGCCCAGCACCACCATCAAGGCTGTGAGAGTTCCCAGTGTGCCATGGGAGCTGACTACAGACCCAGGCACACAGGGAGGTCTGGTCCTCTCCTGTGTCACCTGGTGTTCCTACCAGCCTCAGAGGTGAGCCCTGGGCCACTCACCTGCTTAAAGATCTTGCTGTAGAGGACAGCACACAGGGGTGAGCAGTGAGTGGGCCTCTTCCTTGCTTTGATAGGCCCCTGGGCCTCTAAGTACCCTTTTAGGATCCCAATCTGTAGGTGAGGAAAGGGCAGAGAGCTCGTCTGTCACAAGGGCCCTGCTCACAATGATGGGCCGCCGGGAAAAACTTCCAATAAATCACAACATCAAGACATCCTGACCACACGCAGGCCTGATTCCAGCAAGACTCCAGGTTCCTCAGCAGGCCTGCAGATACCCCCACCCTACTCCATGGCTCCCGCTCCCCGGGACTGAGCCTCCCAAACCCTAGTGTTCCTAGAACCCCAAATTCCAAGTCCAAGGTCCCTTTCACTTTATAACTTCTGAGAAGCTGAAGCCTTGATCAGATGTTCCCTCCAGGAAGCCCTCCCTGCCTCCCCCTTGCTAAGGACTCCTCTGTGTTCCAGAAAGCACTTAGCACACAACTCTACCATAACACACAGCACTTTCTACTGAAATTATCTGTTTTTCTTCTACCCTGTTGGTTCCTAGAGAGATGGGACAGTATCTTTGTCATATATTCTCAGTTCATGACAAAAGGCAGGGGGTGGATAAGGTTTGGTGATCTGAAATGAACTTCAAAGGCCTATTTAATTCAACAAATGCTGATCACCTGTCTGGCACTCAGCAAGGAGATAAAGGAACCCATGACCTTCCTTCTCAAGAAAACTGCCATCTATGGGAGAGCTAGCCAAGTGCATAAAGATGACAAATGTGTCACCAGCCAGGGTGGTTCAGCCCACAGAGCATGGGAGGCCTTTGTGGAGCTCAAGCACAGTGGCCTCCACGTCTCCTTTCTGGACTTCTGCTCCCATCTATGGGCTGTGGCTCAGCCTTGCAGCTCCCCAAGCCTCCATCTTATTGTAGGCCCCCTTATCCCCATCCTCCACAGGAAGCCCCTCGTGCTTGTCCCAATCTTTCCTGTCCTCCAGGGTCAGTACAGACCTCGCAGGGGTTCCAGCTGAGTCCTGAGTCACAAATGGCCTTCCTCTCTGTGACTCAGTTTCCCCCAGGGTCTCTCCTGCAGAGACGCTGCTCAGATGCGGCCCCTGTTTCCCAGAGTTCATGACTTAGCAGGAAAAACAGTCACGTAATAGTGACAGGACAGAGTTATGAGGCTCGTGACTGAGAGAAGGAACGGGGCCAAGAAAACATGGAAGAAGGGCTCCTAACAGGCCTGAGGTTCAGGGTGGCTCCCAGAGGAAGAAGCTGAGTGGGGACAGAGCAGACAGCAGCAGCAGCTGCAGAGACAGTGACAGGCTGGGGGCCTAGAAACAGGATTTCAGGAAATCCCAAGACACGGCCCCTCACAGGCCAGGCCACAGAGTCCAGCCACTTCAGCAGTCCCAGGAGGGACAGGACGCGGCCACCCCTTGGGTGTCCCATGGGATTCAGACCCTGGCCCTCTACCTGCAGCCTCGACCCCACTCCCTCCTGGGACAGCACTCACTGAGTAGGTGCTGCAGATGAGGGTATTGTCCTTCTCGAAGAAGTAGGCACTGGTGATGGGGCAGTTTCCCAGGGCCAAAAACTTCCCGCAGAAGGACTGGAGGCATATGTAGTCCAGCATGTCCCACACGCGAATATTCTGGGGGATGGGAAATAGGTAAGAGGCTGAGCATGGGTGCTCGGGGATGTAGCTGGCTCCTGAAGCCTTGGGGGTGCCTCCGGCGGACAAGCCCAGGGCACATCATCCGTCCAAGCACTTCCAACACACACAGATGGTGTTGGCACCGTCACACCCAGCAGCAGAGAGGCCACTCTTGTGCTCAGATAACCCAAGCACACAGTGAGTGAGGGCCGGGCACAGCTCCACCCCCCAGCCTGTCCCCAGGCCTCCACCCTGCTGGAGCAGCTGAATTCACTGGCTGGGCACAAAAGCCAAGCCAGACAGCACATGCTGGCCCCAGGCCCTCCCTTGCTGCCACTCCAGCCTGGGACACAGTCCGACAGTGGCTACCAACATAGTTGCCACAGTGACCTGCCTGTCCCCAGAGAAGCCCCTCCCATTCCTCCCCGGTGAAGGTGAAGGAACTTTCCCTAGAGGGCTCCACGGAAGTCCTTCCAAGACCCTCACTTCTTGGAGGCATCCTCTGCCCGTGGCTGACTGGGGACCTCAGGGAGCCTGTCCCTGTCCCCATGCCCCCAGACTCAGACCCTTCATCAGAGGCGATGATCCCAGCTCCCAGGGCTTCTGGGAAAATTCCAGACAGGAGGGTGTGTGGATATGTTGGAGAGGGTGGTCTAGGTGACCCTGAGGGCCCCGACAATTCATCTCCAGAGTCCCAGAAAACATAACCTGTCCCCTAAAGGAGGGCCCCAAGCACTGCAGGACCACAGCCCAGCAGACGGGGCAGTATCCTGAGCCTACAGCTGCAGAGGAGCACAGTGGCAGGTCCCGAGTGGGAGCCCTGGCATGTGGGAAAGGCCAAGCCCGGGCCCTGATGACCAGGCAGCTGAGGAGGGGTCACTAGAGCAGCTGAGAGGTGAAGATCGAGGGCAGGGCAGCACAGGCGAATGGCTGCCATGCATTGCACAACTCCCCTGCGCCAGATGCTGCACTGCTGTTTTGCTGCTGGTTCTCTAAACTATTCAACAGCCCATTCTATGGATGGGGAGACTGAGGCTCAGAAAAGGGAAGGACTTGCCAGGGTCACAAAGTAAGAAGCCAGGCTGGGCTACCTGGGAACCCAGCTCTGGGGACATGCTCAGAGGCCCACAGCCACCCTCATCTTCCTTCCACCTGGGGTCCCCCCGCTAGGCCTTTGGCCAGATGTGGGGCCGTGGGCAGGGAGGTCATGCCATTCCTCTGGCTAATGTGTTTCCCTGAGGAACAGAAGGAGTTGGGTGGACTGTCGGGGCGGACCTTGTCCTTGGAGACACTGATGAGGATGCTGCTGTTCCTGCTGTCCACGAGGATGTGTGTCACTGAGGTCTGGTGTCCCTTCATCAGCCACACGGGCCTCTTTGAGACAAAGGGGTTCCACAGGCGGATGAAGGCATCGTAGCCACGAGTCACTGGGGTCAAGACGTGGGTGTCAGTCCCAGGGGCCTCCACTGGGGACCTTCACCCACTGGTGAAGGTGGTGCCCAGAAGTGGGGACAAGAGCAGCAGGACCAGAAGCTGCGCAGCCCTCTCCTGAGCTCTGGTGGTCCCCCCATCCCCAGCAGCCCTCCCTCCAGCAGCTTCTGAGTGACATGAAGATGACTTACCCAGGAAGTTCCTCTCTGGGCAGTAATCAAAGCAAAGAATCCCTTTCCTTACATGCAGCACTGACAACCTACAATATCAAAGGAGTGAGGGCTGCAGGGCTGGGAGCAGTGGCCCTAAGAGAGCCTCTGAGACAGCCTGGGGTTGGAGGAGCTGGAGGCAGAGCCTCCCAGGAGGTCTAGGGAGGAGTCACTACCTCTCCATTCTAGGAGAGGAGCAGCCCCAGAGACCACCCAGCATTCCCTCTGCCGCCAAGTCAGGGCTCAGCACCACAGGAAAAGCAGCAGCCCGGTCCCGACCCCAAACCAACAGCCCACAGGGCAGATGCCACTTGCCAGGTATAGACGGCTCCCAGGCAGGAGCTACTCCTGACATTTGTGAAGCATCTGGCATCATGCCAAGGGCAAGTTTGATTTTCACATCAACTGTACTGGGACAGGCATCTTCCCATCCATGATACAAATCAAGAAAAAAGCCAGGCAGGGCCACGCTTGCCTTCCCCTAGCCTTCTCCCTGAAGCAGGCCATAGAACACTGATTTCATTGGTGCCCACTCTATACCTATACCTGGGGGAAAGGAATGTCCCTTTTTTTTATTTGTTTTTTTTGAGACGGAGTCTCATTCTGTCGCCCAGGCTAGAGTGCAGTGGTGCGATCTCGGCTCACTGCAACGTCCGCCTCCCGGGTTCAAGTGATTCTCCTGCCTCAGCCTCCCGAGTGGCTGGGATTACAGGTGTCTGCCAGCATGCCTGCCTAATTTTTGTATTTTTAGTAGAGATGGGCTTTCACCATGTTGGCCAGGCTGGTCTGGAACTCCTGATCTCAGGTGAGCTGCCCACCATGGCCTCCCAAAGTGCTGCGGTTACAGGCATGAGCCACTCAACCCAGCCAGAATGTCCTTATTTCTGAAGACACAGGGACACAGAGGGGGATCTGGACAAACAGTTTACTGCCATCAGATGGTACTAGTCCAATCATCCTGCATGACTGTCCATTCTTCATCAAACTTCGCATAAAAATACACAGGTCTCCCTGTCTCTTTGGTTTTTTTCCCAGAAGGCTCCCATGTCACATGAAACTTAAATGTGCATGCTTTTCTCTTGTTCATCTGCCTTTTGTTATCAGGGTCTCAGCCATAAACCTTGCAATGGGTGAAGAAAAAATATTACTCCACCCACACAGGGGTCAGGATTCAGACCTAGGGTGGACATGGCAGGCGGTGACAGGAAGTTCAGTAAGCAGTGATCCAGGAGAGGAGAGGCTCATCAGGGCCAGGTGAGGCTCAGAGGGCCAGAGAGGCCCAGACAGGAGTTCCAGGAAGGCCAGGACCCCGCAGCCCTCACAGGCCTGAGAGCCCCAGATGCTCTATGCCTATGCCCATGCCCATGCCTCTCATCCAGAACATTCTGCCCCACCAGCTCCTTCTACTACACTCTTCAAAACCCCATTCTGACCGGGCACAGTGGCTCATGCCTATAATCCCAGCACTTTGGGAGGCCAAGGCGGCCGGATCACCTGAGGTCAGAAGTTCCAGACCAGCCTGGCCAACATGGTAAAACCTCGTCTCTACTAAAAATACAAAAATTAGCCAGGCATGCTAGTATGTGCCTGTAATTCCAGTTACTCGGGAGGTTGAGGCAGGAGAATCGCCTTGACCTGGGAGGTGGAGGTTGCAGTGAGCCAAGATTGCACCACTGCACTCCAGCCTGGGCGACAGAGAAAGACTCAGTACCCCCTGCCCCCACCCCGCAAAAAAAAACAAAAAACAAAACAAAAAAAAACTCTATTCAGGTGTGGTGGCTCACACCTGTAATTCCAGCACTTTAGGAGGCCGAGGGAGGAGGACTGCTTGAGCCCAGGAGTTCAAGACCAGCCTGAGCAACATAGTGAGCGCATGCCTCTACAAAAAATAAATTAGCTGGGCTTGGTGGCACGCACCTGTAGTCCCAAATACTTGCAAGGCTGAGGTGAGAGGATTGCTAGAACCCAGGAGGTTGAGGTTGCAGTAAGCTGTGATCATGCCACTGCACTCTAGCCTGGGGGACAGGGCAAGAACCTGTCCACGAAAAACACAAAAAGACTCCATTCAGGCCAGACACAGTGGCTCATGCCTGTAATCCCAGCACTTTGGCAAGCCGAGGCAGGAGGATCCCTTGAGGTCAGGAGTTCAAGACCAGCCTGAGCAACACAGCCAGATCCCATCTATACAAAAAAATCAAAAATTAGCTGGGCGTGATGGCACACCTGCAGTCCCAGCTACTTATAAAGGTGAGGCAGGAGGATCGCTTGAGCCTGGGAGTTTGAGGTTACAGTGAGCTCCAGCTTGGGTGACAAAACAAGATCCTGCCTCAGGAAAAAAAAAAAAAAAAAAAAAAAAAAAAAAAAAACTCCATTCAAAGGCATCTGTAATAGGGCCCCTGGCCCTCTGACACAGCATGCCCTCCACTTCACTGAACTGACCCCTCACCCGGCTCCTCCACCACTCCCGGGGGACCTAAGCCAGGTGCCTGGGCGTCAACCTGGACATCATGGCCCCCATTATCCAGCCTGGCCCCAAGTCCTCCTTACCCATTTCCCTCTGCTCCCATGACCGCTGCTAGCCTAGGCCCCTGACTTTGCCGTAGCAGCCTCCCAGCCAGTTCCTTCATCTCCAGCCTTGCTCCCCTTTAAATCATCTCTCCAGAGCCACAAGGATTCCTCTAAAATCAAAGCTTCAAAGAGAACAGATGGCAGTACACACATTTCATTTATTGCCAAACCAGATATTCCTCCCTCCACAAGTAAATGTGCTGCCGAAAAATGTTCTGGAAGAATGGTCACCAGAATGTTAGTAGAAATTATTTCAGGCCAATTCACATATTCATCAACAAAGATTTCCTGGCTCCTACTCCCGCCAGGATTACCAAGGGCACAGACATGAGGCTTCTGCCATAGGGGGTTTTCCTTCTAGAGGGAAACAGCAGGAGTAAGTGGACACACCACAGGGAGACGGACATTTACAAATCATGGCAAGTCCTGCAAGGGACATAAGCACATGGCTTTGACAGAGGACAACAGAAGGAGGCTCACTTCTGCCGGCCTCTCTGAGTAGGGTCCAGGGCTGCGGAGACCTGAAGGGTGAGAAGGAGTCGGTCCCAGGGAGCCCAGGGGAGGGGTGAGGCTTCAGTTGGAGGGAGCAGCCTGTGCAAGGCTGGTGTGGTGGGCACCAGGTGGGCCAGGAGGAGAGGGCATGAGAGGACATGGGAGAGGCGGGCAGGGCCGGATCCACAGCCCTGGCCAGGAGCCGCTGAAGGCTCCATACAGGGCCCTGCCTGGATCAGATCTGTCGACGGCTGCGGGTCAGGGAACGTGGCCTGAGGGGACGCAGCGAGGCTGATAAGAGGGCCGCGGCAAGCAGTTCAGGTGGGATATGACGGTGGCTTCAACTAGGTGGTGGTGGCAGAAGTGAAGGAAGAGGGGACAGTGGGGGAGACTTCAGGGGTCAGTCCACACACTCAGCACCAGCTCCTGCCACCACACCCGCTCCATCAGATTTGCTCCTGGCTCGAACCATCTGAGAACCCGTGTGAGGCTGGCTGCAGGGAAGCCAGACCCTCAGGCCCATGCTGCCTTGGAGGCTGAGGCTGACTCCATAGGCAGAGGTTGGGGTGCCAATGCCAGGCCCCACCCGCAGAGGCTATGCCCTAAGATGGCATTGCCAAAACGGGAGACCAGCAAGTGGTCAATGGTGCCACCTGCCGGCCTGTACATTGCACTGCATGCAGCCAAGAATGCATGGGTGTGCCACCACTCTCAGCTAATTTTTAAATTTTTTGTATAGATGGGATCTTGCTGTGTTGCCCAGGCCAGTCTTGAACTCCTGGCCTCAAGGGATCCACCTGCCTTGGCCTCCCTAAGTGCTAGGATTGCAGGCGTGAGCCACCGTGTCTGGCCCAAATGGAGTCTTTTGTCTTTTCTGAAGACAGGGTCTTAAGAGCTCTATCACCCAGGCTGAAGGAAGGGAGCATGTGTCTCTGTGTTTGTGTAAATATATTCTCTACCCTACCCCAAAAATACATCCCCAATCCCTTCATCCTATAACACAGCCCAGCTCCAGACCACCATCCTATACAGCCTCAACTATTGCAGTAGCCTCTTCACTGGCGTCCCCACTGCCACCTCTGCCCATGGACACTCTACCTGCAACATATAAGTCAGACCACACTAGTTCTCTGCCCAAAACCATCCCAGAACCGCGCTTATATCTACTTCTGAATATTGTAAGAAGATACTCTGAGGTACTTAGGGAAATATTAATGTGGACTAACTACTAAGTGATATGGAAGAATTAATACTATTTTATCTATTTTTGTGTGTGTTTGAAACTTTTTATAATGAAAATATTAATTTAAAATTAATTAATTTAAAAAACAAGGCTGGGCACAGTGGCTCACGCCTGTAATCCCAGCACTTTGGGAGGCCAAGGCGGGTGAATCACAAGATCAAGAGATCAAGACCACCCCAAATGGTGAAGCCCCGTCTCTACTAAATATACAAATATTAGCCGGGTATGATGGCACGTGCTTGTAATCCCAGTTACTCAGGAGGCTGAGGCAGGAGAATCTCTTGAACCCGGGAGGTGGAGATTGCAGTGAGCTGAGATCACACCACCGCACTGCAGCCTGGGTGTCGCAGCAAGACTCTGTCTCAATCTGTCAATCAATTACAAGAGCATACCACAGACAGCAGAGCTGTGCAAAGGCCCTGGGGCAGGAGCATGCCTGAGCCTGAAGGAGGCCAGTGGAGCTGAGTGGGCAGGTGGAGGCAGTGAGGTCAGGAAGGCAGCAGGCCCAGCCCACGGAAGCCCTCCTGGCCCTGGTGAGGTGACCCCCTGATATCCTCCTGCCATCAGGACTCAATAAAACAAGATCTGAATGAAACACATATCCACCAAGCTTGTCCAGCTCACGGCCCACGGGCCTCATGCAACCCAGGACAGCTCTGAATGTGGCCCAACACAAATTCATAAACTTTCTTATAACATTATGAGATTTTTTTGTGATTTTTATTTAGCTCATCAGTTATTGTTAGTGTTAGTGTATTTTATGTGTGACTCAAGACAATTCTTCTTCCAGTGTGACCCAGGGAAGCCAAAAGATTGGACACCCCTGATATACACTAAGTGATATCACCACCAGTGCAGATAGATAGCCTCAGGAAACAACTCCAAGCAAACTCCCACCACTAGGCCCCATTCAAAGCACTGAACCCAAGACTGAAACTTCCCCTTCACATCAGACATTCCCAGAGGCCCCCTTTTCCGGCCTGCAGGGAGGTCCAGGACTTGTCTAGAAATGCACACAGTGCACTGTTTGGTTAAAAAGGCCAGGCACGGTGGCTCACGCCTGTAATCCCAGCACTTTGGGAAGCCGAGGTGGGTGGATCACAAAGTCAAGAGATTGAGACCATCCTGGCCAACATGGTGAAACCCCGTATCTACCAAAAATACAAAAATTAGCTGGGCATGGGGGCGCACGCCTGTAGTCCCAGCTACTAAGGAGGCTGAGACAGGAGAATCACTTGAACCCAGGAGGCGGAGGTTACAGTGAGCTGAGATTGTGACACTGCACTCCAGCCTGGTGACAGAGCAAGACTCCGTCTCAAAAACAAAAGAAAAAAAGGCACTGGACATATAATGAGGTCCAAGATAAAACTCCAGCTCAAGTGTCTGCTCTAAGACAGTCACTTCCCCTCCCTAAGCTTCGGGTTTCCCATCTGTAAAATGAGGAGTTGGACTAAATTAGCTTTATCATCTCAGGATTGAAATTTCCCCTGAAAAACAACCAGGACAGAAAGGGACAGACAGGGGTCTAAATGGCCCTCGGTCTCTGCCCCAACCCAACCCTGGCCTCACCCAGTCTTTCCCCAGTACAGGCCTCAAATCTCCTGCTGTTCCCCAAAAAAGACTCTCCTGGGGCTCATTCTTCAGACTGTGCAGGAGCAAAATGTCACAGCCCCAAAGGCTCAAGGAAAAATCTAGGGGCCAGAGGAAAACTACAGGGGCAAGAGCAACCCAGCAGGAAGACTCCGCCAGAGAACATACCTGCCAGTTGATCTACCATAAACTGCACAGTAGAAGCCACACAGTAAAAGAACAGAAGTAGGCCAGGCGCGGTGGCTCACGCCTGTAATCCCAGCACGTTGGGAGGCCGAGGCAGGCCTATCACCTGAGGTCAGGAATTCGAGACCAGCCTGACCAACATAGAGAAACCCTGTCTCTACTAAAAATGCAAAATTAGCCAGGCGTGGTGGTGCATGCCTGTAATCCCAGCTACTTGGGAGGCTGAGGCAGGAGAATCGCTTGAACTCGGGAGGCGGAGGTTGTGGGAAGCCGAGATCGCACCATTGCATTCTAGCCTGGGCAACAAGAGCGAAACTCCATCACAAACAAACAAACAAAACAAAACAAAACAGAAGTGGTAGCTTCTGATAACTGTGTCAAGGAATGGGGATTGAATAAAGAGGGGGCCCCTCAGGACTCCAACCTTCTTTATAATGTTTTCATTTTTTACATGGACAATGCATTTAATACATTATTTTGTGATTAACTGGTTTTTCTTTTGTTTTTTGTTTTTTTTTTTTGAGACGGAGTCTTGCTCTGTCGCCCAAGCTGGAGTGCAGTGGCGTAATCTCGGCTCACTGCAAGCTCCGCCTCCTGGGTTCACGCCATTCTCCTGCCTCAGCCTCCCAAGTCGCTGGGACTACAGGTGCCCACCACCACGCCCAGCTAATTTTTTTTTTTTTTTTGTATTTTTAGTAGAGATGGCATTTCACCATGTTAGCCAGGATGGTCTCGATCTCCTGACCTTGTGATCTGCCCGCCTCAGCCTCCCAAAGTGCTGGGATTACAGGCGTAAGCCATCATGCCTGGTGATTAACTGGTTTTTCAAAAGAAAAGAAAAAACCGCACTCTGGGGTAGAGGAATCTAGACTGAAGGAAACAGATTGGAACCATCTGCAAAGAACCAACGCTGCCAGTTACTGAACACATACCACAGAGGATTCCCTCACACAACCCTTGAAGAAGTGAGGTACACGCTTTCATACCCTTTCACAGATGAGGGAACTGAGGGTCACAGAGGAGGAAGTAACTCACAGTCATCCTTTCATTCAGAAAACATTTCACTGACTGCCACTCACTCTGTGCTGGCTTCTATGTTGAGCTTTGCATATAGATCGAGAGATAAAAGAGACTACTGTGTTCTCACTGTGCTGCTGGTGGCGATGCTGGAAAAACTAAACTCCAGAGTCCATACACCAACCACCATCTGCCACTGTCAGCCCCCACAGTCCACTCACCACCCCCCTTCCTTCCAACCCCACTGCCTTAGCCAGGAGAAAAGCACTTCTTACTTGGGTTTTTCAGAGGCTTTGGCTGGCAATACTGTCAGCACCAGAGAGGACTTCTCGATGGCCGAACAGGAGACCACCAGGTTCATCTGGGGGATGAACTTGACCTGCTGACACCAGTTGGGATGGAGAGCCTGGGAAGACAGTAGCAATGGTGGGAGACTCCACCCAAGGACAACTTTCCAGGCCCAGCCCCCAGAACATGACCAGGTATTGGGACTGGAGGCGCCCAGATATCACGGAGTCTAATGCCCTTCTCCTCATGATCACAAAGTGATGTGGCCCCGCAGTCCTGGCCCAGTTCCTAGGACCAGCACTGGCCATCACTTGTCACTGAAAATGTTTAAGAGCACACAAGCGTAGTTTCATTTGAAATCCTGTCAGAGGATGGGGAGGGTCAGGCCCATACTAATCATCTCCCGCGAGGGGAGAAAGGATGAATTCGAGTCTGTCCAGGCCACAGTCAAGTTATCCACACGCAGCCACCTCTACAGATGGGCTGTGCTCCTGGCCCACTGCCACCCTCCATGTTTGTCATACAGTGGAGTGCTCACGGAAGCACAGAGGGCATGAGAATGTTCATTTCGCTGCAACTTGAGCCACAAAAGATGACACGCAGTCGAAGGGGCTGGCTGGGCTCTGAATTCTCTGGCCCCAGCTCTGTGACTTGGACCAGTGCTTGGCCTCCCAATCTAGAGATTTTCCTCTCCGGGACAAGATTGGAAAAGGCAGGTTGGAGAGATTGGCTCATCAAATATTTCTTCAGTGCTTTCTACATGCAAGACCCTGAGCTGGGTTTTACACACACTGTCACCAAGCATCTGTCACAATGAAGGCACTGAATTTAAGACACTTTGGGAGGCCAAGGTAGGTAGACCAGCCTGGGCAACATAGTGAGGCCCCGTCTCAAAAAAAGAATAAAAAGATTAGCTGGGTGTGGTGCTTGTATTCCCAGCTACTCAGGGGCTGAGGTAGGAGGATCAGCCTGGGAGGTCAAGGCAGCAGTGAGCCATGATCGCACCACTGCATGCCAGCTAGGGCAACAGAGTAAGGCCCTGACTCAAAAAAAAAAAAAAAAAAAAAAAAATAGTGCAGGCCTGTTGGACCACCCAGACCACCCGGAGTGCGTCATTCATTCATTCATTTGTGCAGCAAACGTATTGGGAGCCCATCAAGTGCAGGGTACCATTTTAGGCACTGGAGACAACCGAGAGCACAAAGTCCCTGCCCTCGAGGAGCCATCGATCTCGTGAAGGTGACAGCATGAGGAATCAAAGGTCGGACCACACAAAGCTGGGAGCTGGGAAACACTGCAGTGAAGGGATGAAAGCAGAGGTGGGCACAGGGCTGTCCTAGGATGGCTGGTTGGGACCACAGGAAGTAGATAGGGGGAATACAGGTACCTTCGGGGAGAGCCCTGCAGCCTGAAGGCGCAGCACATGCCGAGGCACAGAGGCGGGAAGGGGCTGAGCGCATTCAGGGAATAGCAGAGGAGCCTGTGCCTCTGCAGGAGAGCAAATGGGGAGAAAGAAGGTTGAAAACAAGCCCAGAGCTTGCAAGCAGGGGCCAGATCACCTCATGTCCTGACGGCCGTGGTAAGGACTTGAGATTATGTTCCAAATGTGATGAGAAGCTACCGGGGTGACTCAACTGTATTTTTAACTCATCATTCCTCTGGCCCTGAATGGAGACAGTGCTGCATGAAGAAAGGAAGTGGGGAACCCAGCTAGAGGCCACTGCAGCCATCCAGGAGCGAGGCAGTGTTGGCCAGGACCAGGGCTTAGCCATAGCGGTGGTGAGAGGGGCATGGCCACACTGAGATGTGGTCTGCAGATGCAGCTGGCAGGATCCAACAGCTGCCACAACTCTTTCCAGAGACCAAACCCCAAGGGCTAAGACTGAACCCAGGGAGTAAATCTACTTTTTGTATTTATTTTGAGTGGTGCGTGTGTACAGATAATTACCATTGTCACAGGCCAAGGAAAGAAACAACTCACCTTCAGCCGGTAGCTTCTATACAAAGCAGACTTCTCATTTAAGAGTTTACGCATGGAAACTTTGATCCAGTGATCTGACAGGGGAAAAAATCAAGGTACACATCAGCAGCTTTCCCCCTTTGCTCAGCAAGCAAAGCCTCAAAAATGTCTTAAGTTGGCTTGCAACTCCAGTGCTTCTCAAAAGGCTTTTCCCCCCAAACCCTCACTGGCGCCTCACTGTGTCCTGGTGAGCTCAGCGGAGTGCCCCCACCCCAGGAAAAAGACTCAGGCAGATCAATGCTGCCTCCTAGAGTACCCCTGCCAGTGCATGGCAGAACTAGAACCAGACTTCAGGGCACCTCACGCTTCCTAGGTGCTGCAATCTAAACAAGCTGATTCTTTATTAGGGAGCTCCACCTTTGCTGGAGTGGAAAAGGAATTGAGACTCTAGGCTCTTTTTATTCTGACAAGTCATCACTTGGGAGTTTGCCATCATGCCTCAAACTACATGCACTCCTTGTCCAGAAAGCACAGGTTCCAAAAAGTAGAAGTTCCAGGTATGCATCATAAAATAAGCATGTCTGGGCCAAGCGCAGTGGCTCACACTTTTAATCCCAGGCCTTTAGGAGGCCAAGGTGGGAAGGTCACTTGAGGCCAGGAGTTAAGACACCAGCCTGGCCAGCATAGTGAAACCCTGTCTCTACAAAAATACAAAAATTAGCTGGGCATGGTGGCATGCACCTGTAATCCCAGCTACTCAGGAGGCTGAGGTGGGAGAATCACTTGAACCCAAAAGGCAAAGGTGGCAGTGAGCCGAGATCACATCACTGCACTCCAGCCTGGGTGACAGAGAAAGACTCTGCAAAAAAAAAAAAAAAAAAAAAAAACCAGCCCGGACAACACAGTGAGAACCCATCTCTACAAAAAAATCAAATTAAAAATCAGCCAGAAGTGGTGGTGGCGTGCTTGTGGTCCCAGCTACTTGGGAGGCTGAGGTGGGATCACTTGAGCCCAAGAGATTAAAGCTGTAGTGAGCTATGATCATATCACTACAGACTCCAGCAACAGAGTACGACCTTGTCTCAAAATTAAAAAAACAAAAAACAAAAAACCACACACACACTTAAATAAAACAAGCCTGTCTGGAGGAATTCAGACATGCCAGGTGCAGCCCTCACGGGGCTTAGCATCTCCCGGCCGCTGAAACCATTCAAGGCCAGCAGTTGATGGATCCTCAGGGAAAGCAAAGCCAATCTGACATAAACCAGTGGTGCTAGCACTGTTAGGGACAAACATGGGTCCTCTGTCAGAGTAGTTTAAGGAGGCAGGTCACAAATGCTGGGGCAGTCTAGGCTCAGGTTCCCTCCCAGGGATGGAGGAGGGAAGAGGCAGCAAGGATGGATCTGGGGGCTCATGCCAAGCATTGTACTGCTGCAAAGTCACCAGCCCCATCTTGCAAGAGCAGGAGGAAGTTTGCAAAGTAAGTCCCAGGGAGGGGTGGAAAGTTGCCCAAGACTGCCAGAGTGGGGCTGGTCGTGCATGGGCACAGGCAGGAGTCAGCTTTATGATGCGCTGTGGTTTAATCATCAGTTTACCTGCCTGTCTCTCCTACTAGGGCTGTGAGGGAGGGCAGGGAAGAAGTCATAGTCACTGTGCACTTACTAGGTGCCTAACATTCCACGTTTCTTATACCAAAGCTATCAATGAAGTAGGGCCATCCCTATTTGAATAAGGGAACTGAGGCACAGAGAGGTTAAGCAATTGGCTCCAGGTCACACAGAGCTGGGGTGCATACCTGGGTCTGTCCATCTCCTCCCAAGTCCACATACTGGGCCCACCTCATCTTCATGTTTGTCCCCAGCCTTCAATCAGCAGTTGGCATGGAAGGACTCCTGCCTAACATTCCAGTGTCATCTGCCTCCCTCGATATCCCATTCACCATGTGGCTCAAAGACCACCACAACCTCCCATGCCAGTTCCCAGGGTAGTACAGAGTGACTAGGCTCAAGCAGCTGAGTGGGCGGCTCAGGGCAGGGCAGGCACCCGAGGCCGATGAGGCAAGCAGGGTGCCAGCCCACTGCTGTGTCCAGGACAGGATCAGGACACTGCCCCAACAAGCCTGCCAGGGGCCTGTTACCAAGGCCTGGGAACCCCTGGAGTGTCCTGCTTAGTAACTCTGGCTGGAAGAGGGGTCAGTGTCCCTGTATGGGGTCCCTGGTGGCCTGGGCCTCCTGGTGGATGTGAGGCAACCTGGAGAGGCAGCACTGTGCGTGCAAGGCTGGATTCTAGAGGCGCTCCAGTTCAGATGAGTTTCCTAGGCAGCCCCGAGTCATGTCCCCTGGGGATCTAGCGACCTGGGCAGAACAGCTCCAATGACTTCCTCCTGCATTTAATCAGTGTGGGATGCAGCCCAGCAAAAGGCTAAAAGCACAGACTCCAAGGCAGGTAGCTGGACTTCAGATCTTAGCCCCCGCTCACCGGGCAGGGGTGTGTGCAGGTGACCTCACCCTTTCTGCCTCTTATTATGGGCTGCAGCAGCGGCTCCTCCCTCCTGACAGTAGGGGCAGCTATGGGAGGTGATGCACGCAAAGCGCTCAGCAAGGGGTGCTCTAGACGCAGCTGTGCCCACTCACCCACGCCAGCCAGCCAGTGCCCAGGCTCCACAGAGCCCACATCCAGGACAGTCCCTGCCCACCAAAGGCAGCACTAGAGCCAAGGAGAGCACATGCCTCCTCACCACCATCCGAGGAAGTTAGCATCAGCGCTGTCAACCAGGATCAGAGTGGATGAGGGACTTCCCCAGGGTCCCACCACTGGCATTGTGCTGGAGTGAGAATCGTCCTGCATCCCCAGACCACACCCGCACAGCCTCCCATCCTCAGAGAGGCCGACCTCTCCCCAGCCCCCATGGTCTTCTGCTCTCCCCCATCGCCTCTCCCTTTGTGCTGAGCTGCATGCATCCTGCGCTCAGAAGCAGATGCTTTCCCAGAGGCTCCAGAGCAGAGGCAGGGAGTGGGGGGCTCGGGGACCAGGATGGACTCAGCACCCACGTCTAGGCCATGCCCAGGCCTCCGCCCCCTTCCCCAGCATCTTAACTACCCCACTTGGAGGCCCTGGGGAGAATACGGGGGTTGAACAGCCCACTGGTCACGTTTTCGGAGGTGAAGACAATGACATTGCCTTTGGCGTCCCCATAGCAGAATACACCTCTGTGATAGTCAGACCTGCAGAAAGACGGAGAGAAGAGGCTGTGTGGGCCGGGCGCGGTGGCTCACACCTGTAATCTCAGCACTCTGGGAGGCCAAGGCGGCTTAATCACCTGAGGTCAGAAGTTTGAGACCAGCCTGGCCAACATGGTGAAACCTCATCTCTACTAAAAATACAAAAATTAGCCAAACATGGTGGCAGGCACCTGCAATCCCAGCTACTCGGGAGGTAGAGGCTGTAGTGAGCTGAGATGGTGCCACTGCACTCCAGCCTGGGAGACAGAGCAAGACCCTGAGTCAAAAAAAAAAGAAAAAAAAAAAGAGGCTGTGGAGCCTCCACTCCCTCCCTTGCCCCCCAGTAGCCTCCCTTCTCCTTGGAAGCAAGAGCAGTTCCAATAAGACTTTCTGGCCTTGCCCAGACACCTGAGGAGCCAACAAACACAGGCAGACCAGGTCCAGCCCATCACTGAACCAGAATTCAATTTTTTTTTTCAACCAAAATAAATGAATCCCTAGTCCTCCAGCTGCCCTTTGTTAAGTCACCCCTCCCAATAGACTGTGATGTCCCCGGACTCCTCAACCACAGCCAGACAAGCCTCTGCTGGGATTTGATGGCTGTCTTGAGTGGGGAAGTGACAATGACTCCAAGCTCTGAGTGACCATGAGAGGTGACCCTGAGAGAGAAGCAGCCTGGAGGGAGGAAGACATAGGGGCCTTGGAGCCAGAGGGGAGATCTTTCCAGATCTTTCCAAGGAGGCTTTCTGGGGGCCCCAACCCTAGTCAGTGATGTGGCTGCTGCAGGAGGCCTGGACCTCCTGGTTCATGTGGGGAACACCCAGTGGAGACTCACCAGTAGTCCATGACCAGGGCACAGCTGTCCAGATCAATAAAGGTGAAGGCCGGGACATATTTGCGGTCACCAATATCAAAGAAATCTGGGGGAAAGACAGAAGGCCACATGAAGCCCACAGCCATGCCTGGGAGGTCTTCAGCCACGGTGAGCAGCCTCATTGCTCTCCCAAGGAATCTCTGGCCCCTTCAGCCCTTTTTCCCCCATGGTAACCACAGACAGCTGTTTACAGAGTAAACCCACCCACCGGGAACCCCACTGAAAACCCCTAAAGGTTTCCAACTGCAGCTGGAATAAAATCCCAGGCTGGGTGTGGTGGCTCACACCTGTGATCCCAGCACTCAGGGAGGCTAAGGCAAGAGGATTGCTTGAGCCCAGGAGTTTGAAACTGCAGTAAGCAGTGATTGTACCACTGCACTACAGCCTGGGTGACAGAGCAAGACCCTGTCTCAATTTAAAAAAAAAAAAAAAAAAAAAAAATCTGACTCCTTCCAACAGATCAAGCCTCATTTTCAGCCTCTGATGAGCAACAGCCTCACCATCGTGCTGTCTCCTGCATCTGAATGGCAGCCTGTCGCCCTCCTCTGCCTCTCTATATGGCCGGCCACCCTAGAGGGCTGTGGGTCACAAGAGGAGCACTGGCTGGACTGGGCTGGGGCCACAAAGGCCAGGGATCACACTGGTGGCACTTCCACCCCTGCTTCTGGCCTTGTCTGAGTGCCTCCGAGCAGGTGACAGCTGCTCCATCAGGACAGCAGTGATGACATAATTATCTCTAAAATGGGGTTCTAGGCTGGGTGCAATGGCTTACACCTGTAATGCCAGCACTGTGGGAGGCTGAGGCAGGTGAACCACCTGAGGTAAGGAGATGGAGACCAGCCTGGCCAACATGGTGAAACCCTGTCTCTACTAAAAATACAAAAATCAGCCAGGTGTGGTGGTGTGCGCCTATATACCCAGACACCTGATGAGCCAACAAACACAGGCCCAGCAGACCAGGTCCAGCCCATCATCAAACCAGAATTCAATATTTTTTTTTCAACCAAAATAAATGAATCCCTAGTCCAGCTACTCAGGAGGCTGAGGCAGGAGAATCACTTGAACCCAGCAGGCAGAGGTTGCAGTGAGCCGAGATAGCGCCACTACACTCCAGCCTGGGCGACAGAGTGAGACTGTCTCAAAAAAATAAAAAATAAATGGGGTTCTAACGCCAAATTCTCAGGGCTGTCTGAGGATAAAGGGTGAGAATGTCTGGGACAGCACCAGGTCCCCAGGAAACAGGTGTTGCAATGGAAAGCCCAGGCGGGTCACAGATAGATTACTCTAGCCCTTGCTGATGGCTGACCACTTTCTCTGTATCACACAATTTAGCCTCATAATGATGTCAGTGTTAATTAACTGCCCACTATGTGCCAGGCACTATGCCTGCAGCTTCATACACCTAACTACTAAGCCACACTCACCCTCGAGTCATGTATCATTGGCCCCATTTTACCTCTGGGTAAAGTGAGGCACTGGGAGGTAAAGTAATTGCTCAAAGGCAGACATCTACAGAGCAGTGGGACCAGGCTCTGAACCCAGGTCCTTTTTATTCCAAAGTCCCTGTTTATTCCAGAACAGCCACACTCTCTCCTCCCATTCAGCCTCACATTGCCAGCTGTCATTTCATGTATTAATTTCCTCTTCCTGACCACCTTACGGGTCTGCTCAGTCAGAGGCCTCATTCGTCATCCATCCATTCAATAGTCATCAAGCATCCAGAAGGTACCAGGCACTGAGACACTGAGTTGAGCAGAACAGATGCAGTCTCTGACCTCATGGAGCTTCCAGTTTGGAGGAGGAGACATGCACTAAACAGAAGCACACTAATACACGTGAGATGACACTGAAAGGAGGACCTTGAAGGGAAGAGGTACAATCTCACGTGGTCTTTTTAACAGAGGATCTTGGAATAGAGGGTCAGGGAGGGATCCTGGAGGAAGTAACTTCTGAGATGAGAGCCAAAAGAAAAGCAGAGGTTGTAGGGGCAGAGAGAGGGGCAGGAGGGATGGCAGGGCACAGAGACTGAGGATCCCACCTCCATCCTAAGAACACTGGGGTAGGGTGAAGACTTTCTGCAGAGGGTACTGTAAATGCACATCCTGCCTTTGGGGGCATGAGGGAAGCACAGCATGCAGTAGAGGCTTTTTTTTTTTTTTTTTTTTTTTTTAACTGAGTCTCTCTCTGTCGCCCACGCTGGAGTGCAGTGGTGTGATCTCGGCTTACTGCAACCTCCACCTCCCAGGTTCAAGCAATTCTCCTGCCTCAGCCTCCCGAGTAGCTGGGATTACAGGTGTGTGCCACCACACCCAGGTAACTTTTGTATTTTCTGTTTTGTTTTCCTCTGCTTTTGAGACAGAGTCTCACTCTGTCACCCAGGCTGGAGGGCAGTGGCAGGATCTCAGCACACTGCAAGCTCCGCCTCCTGGTTTCACGCCATTCTCCTACCTCAGCCTCCCGAGTAGCTGGGACTATAGGTGCCCACCACCAAGCCCAGCTAATTTTTTGTACTTTTGGTAAGGACGGGGTTTCACCATGTTGGCCAGGCTGGTCTTGAACTCCGGACCTCAGGTGATCCGCCTCCCAAAGTGCTGGTATTACAGGAGTGAACCACCACACCTAGCCAGGAGAGGCTATTTAAGTGAGAGTGAAGGGGGCCTGGACTAGGAGTGGCAAGAGGCAGGAGGTAAAATCAGGACCGGAGATAGACCAGTTATGGCCGCTGGCTTGTAAATTTTGGTCTGTTCAACATCACTGTATTCATTCAAGCATTCACAGACCACCCCCTGCCTACTTGGCACTAAGGCCTCTCCACCTGGCAATCCTCCCATGGGGCTCTGATTCATGTTCACAGCTGCTCAGCTAACAGACTTCTCCCAGGCACAAATGCATGGCTCCCAGTGGCTGAGAGCAGGGCTGGGGAGCCCCCAGGGGGACTCACCTATCTTCTGCTTGGTAGACGCAACTGCAATGAGGTTCATATTGTGCAGACATACCATGTCGACGACCCACATCGGCTGGTTGTAGAGCTGCTGGGTCTGGTTAAGCTGGCCAGAGGAAGAGCAGAGGAGATGGGCGGGCTGGGAAGCATACTCAGTCCAGCACAGCACCCCGTGAACCTCTCCTGCCACACAAGGCCCTGGAGCCACCACAGACCTAGCAGGGAGCCCAGTACTACCACTAAGACTAGTGGTGGGGGCCTTGGATAAACAGATAAACTCCCTAGCCTCCCTGGGTCTCAGTTTCCACATCTGTAAAATGGGCTTGAAGAACACCTTCTTTATAATCCCTTTCTGGAGCAGTCTCACAGTTCTATCAAAGTCTTAGCAGCAGTGAGCTGTGAACACACCACTGCACTCAAGCCTAGGCAAGAGTGAGACCCTGTCCCCCCACCCAAAAAAAAAAAAAAAAAACCAAAGTCTTGAATATGCATAGATCATGATCCACACATCTGTTTCCAAGATATTTCTATGAGTATGTTTGCATCTACTCAAAGGGGACGCTGCAGCTGCTGTTAGAGCAACAGGCCAGAAGCCACCTGGAAAGCACAGCTGATATCAACCCACACCATGGACACCACCCAGACATTAAGAACAAGGGAGCTGTGCACATGCCAATAAAGAGCTGCCAAGAGATATGATTAAGTGACAAACCAAGGTAAAAAGCAACATTATAATATGCCTCCATTATCACATTTAAAAAGAAAAGGGCACAGTGGCTCATGCCTGTAATCTCAGTACTTTCAGAGGTCAAGGTGGGAGGATCACTTGAGCCCAGGAGTTCAAGAATAGCCTGAGCAACATAGGGAGACCCCATCTCTACAAAATTAACAAAAAAAGCTGGGCGCAGTGGCTCACACCTGTAATCTCAGCACTTTGGGAGGTCAAGGTGGGCAGATCACTAGGTCAGGAGTTCGAGACCAGCCTGGCCAATGTCGAAACCCCATCTCTACTAAAAATACAAAAATTAGTTGGCTGTGGTGGTGCTCGCCTGTAATCCCAGCTACTTGGGAGGCTGAGGCAGAAGAATCACTTGAACCTGGGAGGCAGAGGCTGCAGTGAGATCACACCATTGCACTCCAATCTGGATGACAGAGCAAAACTCCGTCTCAAAAAAAAAAAAAAGAAAGAACAAGAAAAAATTAGCTGGGCATGGTGGTGCATGCCTGTAGTCCCAGCTACTTGGGAGGCTGAGGTGGGAAGATCCCTTGACCCCAGGAGGTTAAGGCTGCAGTGAGCCATGATTGCACCACTGCACTCCAGCCTGGGTGACAGAGCAAGACCCAGTCTCAAAAAAAAAAAAAAGGAAAAGGGGGGTATGTAGAGAGGATAGCCATGGAAAAGCACCCCAAAACTGGTCATAGCATTTGCCTGCAGGGAGAGGAAGTAGGAACTGAGGGAAGGAAGACTGACTTCCCCTGTCTGCCCCTCCATAGGTATGAATCCTGTTTTCCATCTGCAGGTGTCACCTGGTCTAAGTGGCTTATGAACCAAGGATTTGTTCTGCAAAGCTGCGAGGAATGAATGGAATAATTAAAGCATTGAGGGTGGTGCCCAGCACTCAGTAGGAGCTCAGCACCAGTGCCTCCTGCACTCGTGTAGCATGTACACAGAGACAATGTGAGCTGGCACTCCAGGCAGGGAAAGCCACGAGCAGAGCCAGGTCAGCAGAAATGAGTTGCTGTGTCCTGGGGAAGAGGGAGGCCAGCCTACTCAGTTTAGAGCTGGAGAGGAACCAGAGATGGGGTAGGTGTGGCCACCTAAGGAATCTGTATTTTACTCTCTTTTTTTTTTTTTTTTGAGACAGAGTCTTGCTCTGTCGCCCAGGCTGGAGTGCAGTGGCGCGATCTCCGCTCACTGGAACCTCTGCCTCCCAGGTTCAAGCGATTCCCATGTCTCAGCCTCCCAAGTAGCTGAGATTACAGGTGTATGCCACTATGTCTGGCTAATTTTTGTATTTTTAGCAGAGACGGGGTTTCACCATGGTGGCCAGGCTGGTCTCGAGCTCCTGACCTCAAGTGATCTGCCTGCCTTGGCCTCCCAAAGTGCTGGGATTACAGGCATAAGCCTCCATGCCTGGTGCTGTATTTTACTCTTTGAATGACACCACAGACTCTGAACTGAAGAAAGCAGAAAGTAGTATGATCTGAAAAGCTGGAAGGAAGGAGCAGGGAGAAGCATAAACCAATTCCTCTACATGGATAATCAGAAGGAATAGGGAAGGCAGGGGCAGAGAGGAGCCTGTCCCATCAGAACTCAGAGAGCACCAAGGCTCCCCGGGTGGTTCTGGCGGTGAAGACAATGGACCAGAACCCTCCTGAGCCCCTCTCTTCTGCCCAGGGCTGGGGTCTAACTCACACACACCCGTAGCTTGGTAACTCCCACCCCCGCCCCACACTGTTCAGTGAAACCAAAAGCCCAAGGGAGTTTCAGTGACCTGTGCCCAAGATCACACAGCTCTTGAGGGGAGCTCAGGCCCCGCCTCCAACTTGAGGACTTTCCATCTTCATGACAGTGGGTGTGTGGTCCTGAGAGGCCTACTCCTGCCAAAGCAGCCCCTCCAGGAAGAATCCAGGTCTGCTGGGCCTTCCCAGAGAGCCTTCCTCTGTCCCCTTCAGCCTTTGGAGGTGCTTCGGTGACCATGTAGCAGTTACAAGCAGGAGCTCTGGCTGCAACACACCCTGCCCCAGTCCACACACAGAAAGGGAAGGTGGAGGGTTATGGAAGCCACAGCCTCAGGATGGTAATAGTGACTCCCGCTTGGTGCACCCAGGAGAGCCACGGGACCCCCACGGACCTTAGTTCCAACCCAGGCCTCTTCTTCCCCAAAGGATGAGCCCTGATGCAACTGTGAATCACTCTGCAGTTACACAGGCTCAGAAAGCCCTTCATCTGGGGGCTGTGTTCTCAATCAACCTTTCTGTAGAGCCCTGGAGAGCAATGTTTTCTGCGTCTGCTGGAGGATTCTGGACTGGCCTGGTGACCAAGTACACAGTGGGTTCTCCTGAGCGTCTTCTCATTTACTACTCTCAGCCAGCAGCTGGCAGTACAAAGACAATATATCCAGCGGGGACTTGCTGTATGCCCTGCCCTGCCCCAAGCACTACACATGTATTATGTCACCGCGTGTTCCCAAAAGCACTGTGAAGCAGCACTGTAACTAGCCCCATTTGACAGATGGGGAAACTGAGGCATGGGGCATATATAGTACCTTGTCCAGGTCACAGAGCTGGCAGGTGGTACAGTCAGGACTCTAACCCTGGGAGTTGGGCTCCAGAGCCCATGCTCACAACCACTATGATTTCCCGCCTGGTCCAGGCAAAAGGCCTGAACTGGTAGGATGTGGTGACAGCGTGGGAGTGGCTGACCCCCAGCACAGGAGTCTTGGGGGTGACGATGCCATTCACTGAGATGGGGATGCAAGAGAAGGAAACCTGGTGGGCAGGGATAGCAAAAGGGACACGCTGTTTGGGCTAATGGGTTTGAGGGGTCTGTGAGACACCACATGGAATGGACATCCAGGTGGAATCCCGCTTAGCAGAAGGGAAATGTGTGGCTCCCACAGGACCCAGGTGCTGTGACTGCGAGTCCAGGCTGCTTAGACCATGAATCTGCCTGGCTCCTGGTCACCTTCACCATGGGGGTGCTAAGGCAGAGGCTCTCCAATGACCCATGTGTGTCCCATGTGTACGGGCCACACTCACCCTAAAGGAGCTGATCAGCGAGAAGGACTCAGACCAGAACTGCAGGATGCCGTCTTTGGTGACAGTCAGGAAACACCCGATCTTCTTGAACCGGTGGATTAAAAACACCACCTTCACCACCTCACAGCCATGGTTCCTGTGGAAGGCGATGAGAGAGAGAAGAGCCCAAGCAAAAACAGCTCAGGGAGGGGGCACCTGCGGCAGAACAGAGAGCCACCGAGGAGGAGGGGCAAAAGCTGGCGGAGCGTCACACACACGCACGCACACGCACACGCCAGAAAACCAGAGCTGGCTCCTCCAAGTGGGTTTCTACTGGATCATCAACAGTGGCCAAAAGAAAAAGGGTCCCATGTAGAAGCTGATATGAGGCGGGGCTGCAGAAGCGGGAAGCAGCAGGCTTATCCTGCGAGTAGCCAGCCAGCCTCCTCGCGATGTGATGGGACAGAGGAGACAGAACGGAGGTTGTTTGCAAAGCTCTTTTCATAGGAAAAGCTGGCCACAGAGGGTGAGCAGAGTGGAGCCTGAGGCTGAAAACTGAGCAACAGCACTTTCTTGCAACTGCTCTAGTGCTCTGGGGTAGAGGGGGGAACAGAACCGAAGGATAAAATCAAAGTGGACAAGGAGCAGCGGGGAATTAGGGCCCCATGCACCAAACCCTACAGCCAACAGCTCCTGGGGCAGGCCTGGTCTCGCAGGAGGCCACCCTTGAGCCTTCGCACAGGCTTTGATGCTCCCCTCTGGGGGTTGCTCCCCTGCACCCAAGTGGGCTAAGCCAGCTATCTGGCCATCAAGAGTCCCTGCCATTCCAGCTTCCCAACATGGCATGGCACACACTCTCCCACTTGATCTGCCCAATCTTTGGGCCCTGGCAGAGCAGGTGATATTACCTCCTCCTACAGGGGCCCAGGGGATAATCATTTGCCTGGAGTTATGTTCTATTTACCAGCAGGGCTGGAACTAGAACCCAGGCACTGTGACCCCTCCTCCAGGGCCCTTTCCAAATCCAGTGGGCCTGGTCTGACCCTGGGCTTAAGGATAACCCACACCACTGTGAAAATTCAACTGCCATTACCATCTCTGCAGAAGAGCAAGGGAAACGTGTCTGGACACGGTTCTCCTCTCTCCTGTCCTCAGCCCATAGCTCTGGGCAGATTGTGATGAATATTCTCAGTTGCCCTCTCGTCTCTTCCAACCCTGACACTTGTCAGGGCCAAAGACGGTGCAGAATGGGATGACAGGTGACAGCTAGGAAAAGGGAAGACAGCCCTACGGAAACGGCGTCTCAGGGAGGACTTGGTTTCCTCACCTGCATGACGACAGCACCTGCACCTCCTAGGGCTGGGATCAGATGGGAGGCTGCATTTGGTGCACCTGGCCCAGGCTCAGTAAAGGTAAGCCAACTTTTTAAAGTTACTCTTTCATGAAGGTAATTAAATATTACTCGTTTATTTTCCCCACCAAGTTGGAAAGCTCTCCGGGTTTGGAGGTTGAACAAATAAATAGGAGAAAATAGGAACAAGCCTCTTGACATTTTGTTTCAGGACCTTTAAACACCCTCGAGATCTAAATAGCCCAAAGAAATAGAAAGACCTGGCCGGGCAGGGGGGCTCACACCTGTAATCCCTGCACTTTGGAAGGCTAAGGATAGTGGATCACTTGAGGTCAGGAGGATTACTTGAGGTCAGGAGGTGGTGGATCACTTGAGGTCAGGAGTTCGAGACCAGCCCGGCCAACATGGTGAAACCCCATCTCTACTAAAAATACAAAAATTAGCCAGGTGTGGTGGCACACACCTATAGTACCAGCTACTCAGGAGGCTGAGGCAGAAGAATCACTTGAACCCGGGAGACAGAGGTTGCAGTGAGCCACGATTGCGCCACTGCACTCCAGCCTGGGTGACAGAGTGAGACTCTGTCTCAAAAAAAATAAACAAAGAAATAGACCAGTGAAGGCTTGACCTTATCAAGTAATGTGTTCATGCCAAAATGTACAGTTATGTATTTGAACATACTTCATGTGAAGTAGTTGCTTTTATCTGATTGTATCATGGGAATGAACAATGTATCTAATTAGGGAATGTCTCCCCTTCCTACTGCTGTAAAACAGAAGTATGTAAATCGCCCTTCAAGCTACATGAGCTGGACATGCTAAACGGGAACCAGCAAGATTGCCCAGGCCCACACAGTGCAGAGTAGAAGCTAGAGCGCTGGCAGGGACAAATTCTCCACCGGATAACCCTCTGTAAAGTATTTCCTGGGGCTTATGGCAAAAGCCTGTGTGCACCTCCCTGGAACAACTACTGGACTTTGGACTAGGGAATGTCCCCTTGAGGGGCACTTACTACCTTGTTATGGGACATTAACTGAAGCTACCCCTATGACAGAAGGACATAAAATTATCTTGAAACCTGAAATACCCAGATGTCTTGGGTGAAATCAGAGAAATGCTCTAATGGGGCCTATAGAGGCCAGAAGAATTCCATAATAAAATGGAAAATGGTTGGCCACGCACAATGACTCACACCTGTAATACCAGCACTTTGGGAGGCCAAGGCAGGCGATCACCTGAGGTCAGGGCTTCAAGATCAGCCTGGCCAACATGGTGACATCCCGTCTCTCCTAAAAATACAAAAACTAGGACAGGCACAGTGGCTTACGCCTGTAATCACAGCACTTTGGGAGGCTGAGGCGGGCAGATCATGAGGTCAGGAGATTGAGACCATCCTGGCTAACACAGTGAAACCCCATCTCTACTGAAAATACAAAAAATTAGCCGGGCGTGGTGGCGGGCGCCTGTAGTCCCAGCTACTCGGGAGCCTGAGACAGGAGAATGGTATGAACCTGGGAGGCGGAGCTTGCAGTGAGCTGAGATCAAGCCACTGCACTCCAGCCTGGGCAACAGAGCAAGATTCCGTTTCCAAAACAACAACAACAAATTAGCCAGGTGTGGTGGCGGCCACCTGTAGTCCCAGTTACTCGAGAGGCTGAGGCAAGAGAATCACTTGAACCCAGGAAGCAGAGGTTGCAGTGACCGGAGATGGTGCCACTGCACTCTAGCCTGGGCCACAGAGCAAGACCTTGTCTCAAAAAATAAATAAATAAATAAATCCCAAAAAAATAAATACAATAAAATGGAAATGATTTACACAGCATCTTGCTACCTGGGGAATGCAAGCAAGAGATACAAGCCGGGAGCCTCTTTACCCCAGGACTGATTCTGGAACTGCGTGAGGTGCTGCTGGGTTCTATCAACACTTGGACAGTGTGCTGTGAACCGCTATCAAGTGTCCAACAAGGAAATGCTGGCTTTCCAGTTTCAAAGTGAATGGACAATATTCTGTCTGGAGGGCTGCTACTTGGAGCAAAGAAGGTAGAAACTGATCAGTCTCAGTGGGCTAAATTGCATTTGCATGCTGTTTTTCTTCTTCTTTTTTTTTTTTTTTTTTTTTTTTGAGACAGAGTTTTCACTCTTGTTGCCCAGGCTGGAGTGCGTTGGTACAATCTCGGCTCACTGCAACCTCTGCCTCCCAAGTAGCTGGGTTCAAGCGATTCTCCTGTCTCAGCCTCCCGAGTAGCTGGGATTACAGGCACATGCCACCACGCCTGGCTAATTTTTGTCTTTTTAGTACAGACGGGGTTTCATTACATTGGTCAGGCTGGTCTCGAACTCCTGACCTCAGGTGATCCGCCCACCTTGGCCTCCCAAAGTGCTGGGATTGCAGGCGTGAGCCACCACGCCCTGCCTTGCGTGCCGTTTTTCTAACAGTAATGGAAGAACTGAACAGTGGTGGAAGCTGCTGTGTTTGGGATTTTACTGACTCACAGGCAGTGACCAATGGCCTGGCCATGCACTCAGGCAAGAGGGCCAGGGAAACCTGGCCTGTTGAAGGGATGCCCCATGGAGCACGGCCCTGTGGAGATTTGAGGGGTGCATTAAAGCTGAACAAGTCAATGGCCCTCAGAAGAACTCCCAGGTTCAGAAGCTGACTGGAATTGACAAGTAGAGATCCCCATGTGCTCCCATGAGGTGGCCACCTGGTTCCATAAAATGAGTAACTAGTGGGGAGCTGCAGAGTGTGGAGATGGGCTGAATCTAGACATGTCCCTCTTGCACTCCGTCAGGCAGATAATGCCAGGAAGGAGACAGAGACTGCCAATGACCCTCTGGGAAGGTCCTGAAACACAGTAGACAGCTGAGACTGATGCTGGTAGCCCTGGAGGGCTACAAATGGGTCTGGACAGGAACAGACACTAACTCTGGAGTGGGCTTTGCTCAGAGCGCCATAAAAACACAGAGCAGATGTCAGATGGGTTTGGAGGCAGACCGTCATTTCTTCAGACCAAGAAACAAACTCTTGAGCTCTTAATGTCCAACAATGGCAGAGAACCCCATTGCTGGTAGAAAGCACAACAGGCAATCGAAACACTGGTTGTCTAAAACTGAGGGGACGGATGCATGAAGGCACTGGCTTACCCACCCTCAAGAGTGTGGGCTCACCTTCAGCAGGAGTGGGACCAAAGGGGTGTCCTCACTAGATTTTCTGTTTTTTTGGTTGATGTGGGAAGAAAAGTGGGGAGGATGCTGGTATGACTATGCAGTTGTGCCAAGGGAGGAATATACTTGTAAAATGACTACTTTTTTCTTTGCTGCCCAAATTGTCAGAGGCATTTGAACCAAAGCAACTCCATCTTGAATAACAGCTGGTTAAAATAAGGCTGAGACCTACAGGGCTGCATTCCTAGAAGGTCAGGCATTCTAGGTCACAGGATAAGATGGGAGGTTGGCACAAGGTACAGGTCATAAAGACCTGGCTGATAAAACAGCATGCGGTAAAGAAACCAGTCAAAACCCACCAATGTGGTAAAGAAACCAGTCAAAACCCACCAAAACCAAGATGCCAATGAAAGTGACCTCAGGTCATCCTCACTGCTCATTATATGCTAATTATAATTCATTAGCATGCTAAAAGACACTCCCACCAGCACTATGATAATTTACAAATGCCATGGCAACATCAGTAAGTTATGCAACATGGTCTAAAAAAGGGAGAAACCCTCAGTTCTGGAAATTGTCCACCCCTTTCCCAAAATCTCATGAATAATCCACCCCTTGTTTAGCATATAACCAAGAAATAACCATAAAAATAGCTAACCAGTAGTCCTTGGGGCTGCTCTGCCTATGGAGTAGCCACTCTTTTATTCCTTTACTTTCTTAATAAACTTGTTTTCACTTTACGGACTCGCCTTGAATTCTTTCATGCATGAGGCCCAAGAATCCTCTCTTGGGGTCTGGATCGGAACCCCTTTCCAGTAACAAAATTTTTTTTCTCCCCTACCTGTTGGTCGAGTGGTCCTAGGGTCCAATTACAAGTGTTGGAGGCAGGGATAATTTCTTTTTTTTTTTTTTTTTTTTTTGAGTCTCGCTCTGTCACCCAGGCTGGAGTGCAGTGGCACCATCTCAGCTCACTGCAGCCTCTGCCTCCCAGGTTTAAGCGATTCTTCTGCCTCAGCCTCCTGAGTAGCTGGGATTACAGGCTCGTGCCACCACACCCAGCTAATTTTTGTATTTTTAGTAGAGACAGGGTTTCACCATGTTGGCCAGGATGGTCTCAAACTCCTGACCTCAGGTGACCCACCGACCTTGGCCTCGCAAAGTGCTGGGATTACAGGTGTGAGCCACCATGCCTCGGCAGGGATAATTTCTAAGCAACGAACAGTCACCATGTTTTAAAATGTTGTGAGAATTCCCTAAGGGCCTGATGGGGGTGGATTGTGCCTTCATCCCATCTGGCAAAATGGGGGTTAAAAATAAATACAGCTATATTGCCTCGTGGTAAAAATGGCTCGTGAGTTTGGAACTCGTGTAACCATATTCTCTATGAATGGGAATGGACTGAGGGGAGGCACTCGCTAGACTAGCATTGCTACCAGCGATCCAGATGGGCAGTGGCTGAACCTGATGTCCCTTGCAAAGGTGGAAATGTTTGGGTAAAAATAAATGACAAATGGAGAAAAGGAGGAATACTAGCTGAGGGTAAAGATGAATAAATGGATTAAATGGAGAGAAATCCAGTATTACACCAACAACTCAAAGGAGTTCTCAGAGCAAGAGATGACTGGCTGGGTGCAGTGGCTCACACCTGTAATCCCAGCACTTTGGGAGACCTGAGGTCAGGAGTTTGAGATCAGCCTGGTCAACATGGTGAAACCCCGTCTCTACTAAAAATATAGAAATTAGCCAGGCATGGTGGCAGGTGCCTGTAATCCCAGCTACTCGGGAGGCTGAGGCAGGAGAATCACTTGAACCCGGGAGGCAGAAGTTGCCGTGAGCTGAGACTGCGCCACTGCATTCCATCCTGAGCAACAAGAGCAAAACTCCGTCTCAAAAAAAAAAAAAAGAAAAGAAAAGAGAGATGGCATTGTCTCTTAGCTCAATGATTCCATATGCCTCACCCTACACATCTGTTCATCAGTATTCTTCGCAGTATTCTTTATAATAAACCAGTAAATGTTTAAAAAAATACAGTTATGAAATCTCTCATCATTCATATTTATTGGTTATTTCTCAATTAAATCCCAACTAAAATTTTAAGTTATGGCTGGGTTCAGTGGCTCACACCTATCATCCTCGCAGTTTGGGAGGCCAAGGTAGGCAGCTTACTTGAGGTCACAAGTTCGCAACCAGCCCAGCCAACACAGTGAAACCCCGTCTCTACTAAAAATACAAAAAAATTAGCCAGGCGTGGTGGCAGGCGCTTGTAATCCCAGCTACTTAGGAGGCTGAGGTGGGAGAATCGCTTGAACCCGGGAGGCGGAGGTTGCAGTGAGCCAAGATTGCGCCATTGCACTCCAGCCTGGGTGACAGAGCAAGACTCTGTCTCAAAAAAAAAAAAAAAAAAAAAAAGTTACCCTTTGGTGACTTTCATTCAAGCCACCTTCTCTATTAAACCCCAGGCTGCCTGAGGGCCGGGGCTGCCTTCCAGCTCTTGGTCTTCCCCGTGGCCTGGTCTAGGTCTGGTCCTCTTAGCACAGACCCACCCACAGCTCCCTCCTGACCTGGTCACAAATGTAGGCTGCCACACCTTGTACCTCAGGACCCAGCTCCCCACCCGGCCACCTGCCCCAGGCAGCAGTGCTCCAGGGCAGACTGCAGGAAGGGAGCCAGTGACCTGGGTGGCCCGGGTCCAGCAGGTCAGAGCCCCCACAGTGCTTCTCGTGCTTAGGGAGTCCGGGGAGAGGAACACACAGTGGGGCAGATTCAGCCCTGGCACAGACAGAAGAGGTTGAGGGGGTTTGAGACATGCTACCCCTAAATAGGGCACCGCAGCATACTGAGTCTGTTAAACTGAAGGGATTTGAGAAGCACTATGTTCAGGAAGGACCGTTTGACCTTCCCCTGAAGCTGGTCGTAAGACTCATGTGAGGGGTGCCCGAAGACACAGGGACAGGGACAAGAGTCTGAACTAACTGCCTTGCTGTTTCCGCCATGTATTATCCTTGGCTCATGGCCCCTCTGTCCTATCTTATTTTTTCACAGCTTTCCACCCTCCACTGAACCTAGCATGAAAACCCTCAGGTTATCTGTTTCTTAGGGTCTTCATTTCCTATGGAGTTTCCCGTGTCATGTGAAACTTATATTAAATAAACTTGTATGCTCATCCTTGTGACTCTATCTTCTCTTACAGAGGTCCCTGCCAATGAACCTCAGATGGGTAGAAGGAAAAGACAGTTTTCCTCCCCTGCAAAGCCAGGGTGCAGTGGGCACAGCGGGTGGAGGAGCCACGAGGAGGAGGAGTCAGCTGGGGCATCAGGCAGAAGCCAAGGCAGGGCAGTGCCACCAGCTCCAGGAGTAATAGAGGGACCTGCTCCCACAGCCAGCCACACTGAGGCCTCCAGGGCCTGACTGGGGTCCTCAGGAGCAATTCCCTCCCTGTCGCCTGGGAAGAGACTCCTATTCCTCCCTGTGCTGGCCAACTGTGCCACCTGTGCCCCTGTGATGAAACTGCCGGACCCACTCCACACTGACCAGCACAGGAAGCAGGTGAAGCAATGCTGTATACTAGAGAATGGGGGCTGAGAGGGCCAAACACAGCAGCCCCGCCACTTTCTACCTATTGGCCTGGGGCCAGCCATTTGGCCTCTCCAGACCTCAGTGGCCTCATCTATAAAATGTGGACAAATCACCTACCTTAGTCCTAACACTTACAGGGCTGTGAGGTTGAAATGAGCCAAAGGACATCAGACAGCAGGCTGATGCCAATCTCTGGTCAGCACCAGCAAGGTCATGGATTGAGGGAGGGGCTTGCTGCAGGCTGGCACCAGCACTTGTCCAGTCACCCCACCCACCAAGGCCCAGGAAGAGGCTCCTTACAGGGGGACGACCCTCATGGGAAGGTAGAAGTGCAGGCGGTACTGGCTCTTTTGCATGTCTTCTTTTCCCTGGAACTCACACATCATGTAATCCACATACTTTTGCTGCCTCAGAAAGAAAGCACAAGGGAGGCAGGATGTTGGCAAAATGGTCTCGGCCTTCGGTTTCAAGAACCCAAGCCTGATTCCCAGGGTCCCCCCTGCCACCTCATCTCTCCCAGGCCCTTCCAACGGGGAGCTTTCTGGTGGCTGCTTCCTAAGTACTGGCCAAGGCAGGTGGCCAAGCAACAGACCTGCTCTTTCTCTGTTAGTTTGTCACTCAGGCTGGAGTGCAGTGGTGTGATCACAGTTCACTACTCAGCCTCCCAAAGTGCTGGGATTATAAGCATGAGCCACCATACCTGGCCTTTTTTTTTTTTTTCTCTCTCTCTCTTTTGGGACAGGGTCTTGCTCTGTCGCCCAGGCTGGAGTGCAATGGTGTGATCACAGCCTACTGCAGCCTTAATCTCCCAGGCTCAAGTGATCCTCCCACCTCAGCCTCCTGAGTAGCTGGGACCACAGATGCATGCCACAATTCCCAGCTAATTATTGTATTTTTTGTAGAGACGGGGTTTCACCATGTTGCCCAGGCTGGTCTTGAACTCCTGGGCTCAAGTGCTCTGCCAAAGTTCTGGGATTAAAGGTGTGAGCCACCACGCCTGGACAGCAGACCTGTTCTTGAATCCTGAGTATGGGAAGAGCCTACTCACAGCATTCATGGAAAGAGCGCAGCAGCGCTTCCCTAGCCGTCCTGAAGCGCTAAGTGCATCCTCAGATCACCTCCACAACTGCCATTGCCCTGGGAGCTCTTAATTCACTCTCCCCTATGGGTAATAAGACTCAGGCCCCTGTAAGGATATGCGATGCTCATGCTCAAACATCAAGTTAACAGCAGGGAGCATCCACAACCAGGGCCACTGGCGCAACTCCAGACTCCATTCCGCTGCCCAGCTGCTAGAAAACATGGCCAAGGCCCAAAGCAGCCACCATATGAAGCTATAACGAGAAATGGGGGGTTGTAGAGAAGGACAACTGGGTAAAGCCCTGAGAATGCCGGGAATGTGAGGGGGTTAAATTACTTTTTATTCTTTTTCTTTTAGTTGGCCTCATTAGTTCTAAAGGAAATGTTTATTACAGAACATTAAGAGAAATAAAAACAGCCAAGTGTGGTGGCTCACACTGGTAATCCCAACACTTTGGGAGGCCAAGGAGGGTGGATTACCTGAGGTCAGGAGTTCGAGACCAGCTTGGCCAACATGGTGAAACCCTGTCTCTACTAAAAATACAAAAATTAGCCAGGCATGGTGGCGGGCGCCTGTAATCCCAACTATTTGGGAGGCCAAGGCAGGAGAATCACTTGAACCCGGGAGGCAGAAGTTGCAGTGAGCCAAGGTCGTGCCATTGCACTCCAGCCTGGGCGACAGAGCAAGATTCTGTCTCCAAAAAAAAAAAGAGAGAGAGAGGGAGAGAAATAAAAACAAGAAAATTAAGAAGAATAAAACCTATAATGTATACCTACGCTGAGGAGAGCTATGAGACGGCAATTAACACCAGGACTCTCAAGGCACGCTCCCTGGTTTGAACACTGGCTCCAGTGCTGATGAGTCTGAAGCCTTGGGCAAACTAAACTTTCCCATACCTCAGTTTCCCAATCTGTCAAATAGAGGTAAGTTGTTTTTTTTTTTTTCCTGAGACATGGTCTCATTTTGTCACCCAGGCTGGAGTACAGTGGTGCAATCTCAGCTTACTACAGCCTCAACCTCCCAGGCTCAAACAATCCTCCCAGCTCAGCTCCCCAAGTAGCTGGGACTATAGGCATGCACCACGACACCTGGCTAATTTTTGGTATTTTTTGTAGAGACAGGGTTTTACCATGTTACCTAGGCTGGTCATGAACTCCTGAGCTCAAGCGATCCACCCACCTCGGCCTCCCAAAGTGCTGGGATTACAGGTATGAGCCACTGCGCCCGGCCAAAATAGAGGTAAGTAATAGCTCCTATGAGGTTTCAGTAAAATAATACATAGGGAGCTTAGCACAGTGCTTGGTGTAAATGCTAGTTATCATTGTCATCTTTGCTACATCAATTTGTCAGACTATCCTTGGTACTTTTCTGTATGCTTAAAAAGCTATATAGGCCGGGCACGGTGGCTCACGCCTGTAATCCCAGCACTTTGGGAGGCCGAGGCGGGCGGATCACAAGGTCAGGAGATCGAGACCACGGTGAAATCCCGTCTCTACTAAAAATACAAAAAATTAGCCGGGCGCGGTTGCCAGCGCCTGTAGTCCCAGCTACTCGGGAGGCTGAGGCAGGAGAATGGCGAGCGAGACTCTGTCTCAAAAAAAAAAGCTATATATTCCCATTGTCGAACGTTTAGAACCAAAAAAACATGAAAGCATTATTATTACGCTGCTGTAAAAGCCTGACATTTTTGGATGTAACAGCCACAAGTTAGCCTCTTCCTGAGTGACAGTGAAGGGTCATAAGATGGTCGTGGTACCAGCTTGAATCCCTCAAGTCAAATGGGAGGCTGGTGGGCAGCACAGCCGCGTGGCAGGTAGGGTCACTACTGCAATTCAGTAGGTCTCACGTAGGGGCCAATGACACTTGTCCCTGGGGAATGAGCTGCCAGGAACTCAGCTCACACAGGTTTTAGGAGGGACCTCTCCACCGGGCAAGTCCCTCGGCTGGGGCCGAAATCCACAGGGAGGCTTTCCCACATCATGATGGCCTCCCATCTTCAGCCCACCAACTGGTCAAGGACTGGACCCTCCAGCCTCCCTCCAGCACCTGAGGAAGCAGGGGCACCCTTCTCACCCAGGTGACAAAGCCTTCACAGTCTGAGTCCACCTTCAAAAACAGCTCCTTTAGCATCTCATTCGACACACTGCTTAGAACTTTCTTCATGGCCTTGATGAAGGCGTCCATGCCCAGGGCTTCAAAGAGAGAAGAGAGAGCATCATCCCCTTCCTCACAAGTCCCTCGGCCCATCACTGCCACGGAGTTCTCGAGTGTCTCAGTGCTGAGAAGCATACACTGAAGACCACATTTACAGCCAGGCACGGTGGCTCACGCTTGTAATTCCAGCACTTTGGGAGACTGAGGCGGGTGGATCACTTGAGGTCAGGAGTTCAAGACCAGCCTGACCAGCATGGTGAAAACCTGTCTCTACTAAAAATACAAAAATAAATTGGCTGGGCATGGTGGTGGGTGCCTGTAATCCCAGCTACTCGGGAGGCTGAGGCAGGAGAATCCCTTGAACTTGGGAGGCGGAGGTTGCAGTGAGCTGGGATCGCACCACTGCACTCCAGCTTGGGCAACAAGAGCGAAAACTCTGTCCCAAAAAAAAAAAAACCATGTTTACCAGGTGCGCTCGGTTCAAGGCAGTCTTGGTGCTGCCACCCCTACTGTCCTCAGCTGGGCCACTGCAGGGGGCACAGAAGGGAGATGGCTCCAACCAGATATGGGGCCCTTAGAAGGCTGCCTCCTCCAGCCCCTCAAAACTCAAATCCAGCCCCTCTCTTGGACCTGTCTCCCTTCCTCACATCTCAGCATCCACCCCAGCCACCCCAGCCTAGGCCAATTCCGGAAGCTTCTGTCCTCACATGGTTATCTTTTGCATCTTACCTGCTCAACATTCAACCACCCCACAAATCCTGGCTGAACACGCACCATATGGGAGCACTGTGCTGGTCCCACAGCAGTGCAGGGAAGGGAGGCACTAAAAAAGATCAATTCCCATTTCCATACAATTAACAAAGACGAAGGATTGAGACAAAGATAACTCCGCAAAGAAAAGGAGAACCAGGCCGGGCACAGTGGCTCATGCCTGTAATTCCAGCACTTTGGGAGGCAGAGGTGGGAAGATACCTGAGGCTAGGAGTTCAAGACCAGCCTGGCCAACATGGCAAAACCCTGTCTCTACTAAAAAATACAAAAAAAATTAGCCAGGCATGGTGGCACACGCCTGTAATCCCAGCTACTTGGGAGGCTGAGGCAGGAGAATCACTTGAATCCAGGAAGCAGAGGTTGCAGTGAGCCAAGATCACACCAATGCACTCCAGCCTGGACAACAGAGCCAGATTCTGTCTAAAAAAAAAAAGAAACAAAATAAATAAATAAATATTTAAATATTTTAAAAAACAAAAACAAAAATTAGCCAGGTTTGGTGGCATGTGCCTGTAATCCCAGCTACTTGGGAGGCTGAGGCACAAGAATCACTTGAACACAGGAGGCAGAGGTTACAGTGAGCCGAGATTGCACCACTGCACTCCAGCCTGAGCGACGGAGTGAGACTGTCTCAAAAAAAGAAAAAGGAAAGAAAAGAAAAGTAGAAGCAAGGCCAGGCACAGTGGTTCATGTCTATAATCCTAGTGCTTTGGGAGGCTGAGGTACGAGGATCACTTGAGATCAGGAGTTCGAGACCAGGCTGGGAAACATAAGGAGACCCAATCTACAAAAAATTTTTTTTAACTAGCCAGGTGTAGTGGCGTGAGCCTGTAGACCCAGCTGGTCGGGAGACTGAGGTGGGAGGATGGCTTGAACCTAGGAGGCAGAGGCTGAAGTTGGCCATGATCTCGCCACTGTACTCCAGCCTAGGTGATGGAGACAGACCCTGTCTCTAAAAAGTAAATAAAATAAAGGCCGGATGCAAGGGTTCACACCTATAATCCCAATACTTTGGGAGGCTGAGGTGGGCAGAAGGCTTGAGCCCAGGAGTTTGAGACCAGACTGGGCAACATGGTGAAACCCCATCTTCACAAAAAATACAAAAATCAGCCAGGCATGGTGGCACATGCCTGTAGTCCCAACTACTGGGGAGGCTGAGCTGGGAGGATTGCTTGAGCCTGGGAGGTGGAGGTTGCAGTGAGCAGAGATTTCACCACTGCACTCCAGCCTGGATAACAGAGTGAGACCCAGTCTCAATAAATAAATAAATTAAATTAAAATGAAGAAAAGCAGCAGAATGAAAGTATATAATGGCAACAAATAGACATTAATAAATTCAGACATCTAGGTGAGAGGTGAACTGCATCTTTTTTTTTTTTTTTTTTTTTGACAGAGTCTCGCTCTGTTGCCCAAGTTGGAGTACAGTGGCACAATCTCAGCTCATTGCAGCCTCTGCCTCCTGGGTTCAAGCGATTTCTGGCTAATTTTTGTATTTTTAGTAGAGATGAGGTTTCACCATGTTGGCCAGGCTGCTCTCAAACTCCTGACCTCAAGTGATCTACCCTCTTCAGCCTCCCAAAGTGCTGGGATTACAGGCGTGAGCCCACCACGCCTGGCCAAACTGTATCTTTTAAAAGTAATTATCAAAATATAAACTTTGGCTGAAGGAAAAGATGGGGAGAAGAAAGGAGGAGCAGGCAAGGATAGAAAATTCTCCACGTGCTGTGTCTATAAGGGGATCTGTCTGCAAATGGGTCAATAACCCTGTCTACAACTTTTTTTTTTTAAATAATCACGGTCTTTAAAAAGTGCTTCTGGACTGGGCACAGTGGCTCACACCTGTAATCCCAGCACTTTGGGAGGCCGAGGCAGGAGGATCACGAGGTCAAGAGATTGAGACCATCCTGGCCAACATCCTCAGAATTCAGGGGACTCCTTCCATAGGGAAGCCTTCCTAGGGTCTATCTAAGGAGGCCACCCCCACCATTGCCCAGCTCCATGGTTCTTGCTGACATTCTTTATCAGCTGACACACTCGCTTTCACTGTTTTGTGTTTTGTTTTTGTTTTTAGTGGTGTTTTTTTGTTTTGTTTTGCTTTGTTTTGTTTTGTTTTTTGAGATGGAGTTTTACTCTTGTTGCCCAGACTGGAGTGCAATGGCATGATCCCGGCTTACAGCAACCTCCGCCTCCTGGATTCAAGCAATTCTCCCTGCCTCGGCCTGCCGAGTAGCTGGGACTCCAGGTGTGCACCACCACACCCAGCTAATTTTTGTATTTTTAGTAGAGATGGGGTTTCGCCATGTTGGCCAGGCTGGTCTCAAACTCCTGACCACAGACGATCCGCCCACCTTGGCCTCCCAAAGTGCTGGGATTACAGGCATGAGCCACTGCGCCCGGCCTTGTTTTTGTTTTTGAGACGGAGTCTCGCTCTGTTGCCCAGGCTGGAATGCGGTGGCACGATCTTGGCTTACTACAACCTCCACCTCCTGGGTTCTAGCGATTCTCTTGCCTCAGCCTCCCAAGTAAGTAGAACTATGGGCATCTGCCACCATGCCCAGCTAATTTATGTATTTTTAGTAGAGACAGGGTTTCACCATGTTGGCCAGGCTGGTCTCGAACCCCTGACCTCTTGATCCACCCGCCTCAGCTCGCTGGGATCCCAAAGTTCTGGGATTACAGGCGTGAGCCACTGTGCCCAGCTCGCTTTCACTGTTGTCTGTCTGTCTTCTATCTCCCACTCCAGCCTGAGAGCTCTGGGATGGCAGAGATGAGCCTGTTTCCCCAGGGCTGGGTCCTGGCTTCAACAAACACTGGTCCCCTGAGGGTTTCTGTGGGCACTGCACTAAGATGTGCTAGCGATGGCACTTCATGCCAGGCATCGTTCTCTGTGCCTTATGCACACGGACTACCTATATAAGGAAGTAAATGTGTCACAGAGAGGTGTGGTCGCTTGCCCAAGGTCACACAGCTGGTAAGTGGTAGCACCAGATACTAACCCCAGCAATCTGGCTCCAGAACTCATGCTCTTAACCCCATTCTATGCTCCTTATAAAACACCCAGCACAATGATACAACAGTAATTATTATTATCTTTGTTGCTGGATCAAGGAATAAATGGAAAGCCTGAAGAAATCATGCGTTGCTAAAAGAGGGACCCATCTTGCTTATCTGGAGTTACAGCCAAGGTGCTTAAGCACTTAATGGTCCTTCCAGGTAGAAAACAGATGTCAGGGGGCAGGCCATCAGCCCTGCAGCCTCCTTCCAGACAGAGCTGGGAGTCAAACTGCCTTTATGTGCTTTCAAAACCTTCTGGGGAGACTGAAAGGCACGCCTTCCTCTTTAAGAACCACTGACTTCCCTCAAAGATCTGGATTCAACCTGAACTGAAGCTAGGAAAAGGGAACTTACAGAACAGGAAGAAGGACACTGGCGTGTCCCCTCTTCCCTCCAAGGCACACACTGACAGTTGGGGTGCCTAAGACACGGTATGGAGCCCGTACTCATAATCCACCTCCTTAAAAGACTTTTGAAAGAGAAAAATTATCCTATTTTCCTTTATCCTACATCAACAAAAGGTGAATTTTCCTTTCTCCCATTTAAAGTCACAGTTGTTTTTTTAAAATGAGAAAGGGTTTTTTACATTGATATGAAAATATCTGCAAGATACATTCAGTAAAAAGCAAGAGGTAAAACTTGTTAAAATTAATTTTTTTAAAAAGCAAGGAATACAGCATAGCAAGACACCATCTCTACAAAAAATAAAAATGAAAAAAGTAGCTGGATGTGGTAGCATGCACCTGTAGTCCTAGCTACTCTGGAGGCTGAGTCAGGAGGATTGCTTGAGCCCAGGAGGTCGAGGCTTCAGTGAACTATCATCACACCACTACACGCCAGCCTGGGCCACACAGCAAAAGCCTATCTCTAAAAGAAATTTAAAAGAATAAAAATTTAGCTCTTTCCCTGCCACCGCAGAGCTGCGCAGAGGCGGAGGCTTCGGTGCGTTCAACATTCCGCTTCACCCGTAACCCACCGCCATGGCCGAGGAAGGCATTGCTGCTGGAGGTGTAATAGACATTAATACTGCCTTACAAGAGGTGCTGAAGACCACCCTCATCCATGATGGCCTAGCACATGGAATTCACGAAGCTGCCAAAGCCTTAGACAAGTACGTCTATCAGTCTCAATACTGAGGGTTCTTGCAACCGGAACAAAACTGCCACCCAAGGGAAGAAGGCGTGGAGTTCATGGTGTTAGCGCAAAAGTTCTGAATGGCATCCATCCTATAGGAAACCTAGGAAAAGGCGCCAAGCCCATCTTTGTCTGCTTGCATCCAACTGTGATGAGCCTATGTATGTCAAGTTGGTGGAGGCCCTTTGTGCTGAACACCAGATCAACCTAATTAAGGTTGATGACAACAAGAAACTAGGAGAATGGGTAGGCCTCTGTAAAATTGACAGAGAGGGGGAAACCCCGTAAAGTGGTTGGTTGCAGTTGTGTAGTAGTTAAGGACTATGGAAAGGAGTCTCAGGCCAAAGATTTTATCGAAGAGTACTTCAAATGCAAGGAATGAATAAGTAAATCTTTGGCTCACAAAAAAAGAAAAAAAAAGAATAAAAATTTTAAAAAATAAAAAGCAAAGAGTAGAACAGTGTGAACAGTAGGGTGCCACTTCATATAAAAAAGGGAGGAAACTGACGACTGGACACTAACATTTAAAAGAAGTAGAGAGGGCTAGGCGCGATGGCTCACACCTGTAATCCCAGCACTCTGGGAGGCCGAGACAGGTGGATCACCTGAGGTCAGGAGTTCAAGACCAGCCTGACCAACATGGTGAAACCCTGTCTCTACTGAAAATACAAAAATTAGCCGGTGGTGCATGCCTGTAGTCCCAGCTACTCAGGAGGCTGAGACAGGAGAATCACTTGAACCTGGGAGGTAGAGGCTGCAGTGAGCCGAGATCGTGCCACTGTACTCTAGCCTTGGTGACAGAGTGAAACTCCATTTCAGGAAAAAAAAAAAAAAAAAAAAAAAAGTAGAGAGAAAATGACTAAAGGTACTTCTGTATTTCTAAAGGTCACAGGAGGCTGGGTGCAGTGGCTCACGCTTGTAATCCCAACACTTTGGGAGGCAGAGGCAGAAGGATTGCTTGAAGCCAGGAGTTTAAGACCAGCCTGGGCAACACAGCAAGACGCCATCTCTACCAAAAAGTTTTTTAAAATTACCCAGGCATTGTGGCACATGCCTCTAATCCCAGTTACTCCAGAGTCTGAGGCAGGAGGGTCACTTGAGCCCAGGAGTTCAAGGCTGCAGTGAGTTATGATCACGTCACTCCACTCCAGCCTGGGCAACCAAGCGAGACACTGTCCCTAAAAAATTAAAAATAAAGATCACAGGAAACAGAAAACAGTAATCACTTAAAGGGATATACCTGGGCACGTGGGTGCTGGGGGAGAAAGACATTTTCTCTGTGTATCTAAAAGGTACCATGAAAAAAGTACCTTTTGGATCTTGAACCGTTTGGGTATATTGAACTGTGTGGATATATTACCTATTCAAAACAAACACAAACACAATAAAAATGATGGCCAAAGTCAGTACCAACGGAGTCCTCCCAGACACAGTGGTGGCAATTCCTGGCTGCAAACAATGATATTGAAGGCCACCACCCAGGAACCCCCTATCTTCAGACCAGACACAAATTGTCCCTCCTAGGTCTCACTTTACTTATTTGTAAACTGGAGATTTCTTATCTTTTCCTGCCCACATCACAGTGTGGTTGTAAATCTAAAAAAAAAATTCACAGCGCAGGTAAATAGGACCCTGGCATGGTCTAGTGGATATGAAGAAAGATGCCTTTAAGTATTCCTATTATTTGACTTACAGGAGTATTATCTCAGGGGAAAAATCAAGCTCTAAACAGAGAAAAGGCTTGATGCACAAAGGATATCTTTACAACATTAAACTCAATAAAACCTACATGTCTGAAAATAGGGGAATAGCTTAGCCAGTGAAACAACTGCCTCCATTAGTAATGATGACTTGGAAGATTATGTAGCAATATGAAAAATTCCTTAGGATATTAGCATTAAGTGAAAAATAGTCTGAAATTACACATATAGCATGATTAAAGACATATGAAAACACGCATAGCCATCTGTGGTAGAGAGACTTAAGCAGCCCTCATACTGTGTGCCTCCTGGTGCTCAATCCCTCCTTTGATCCCCTCCCCTGGAGTGTGATGGGACCTGTGACTTGCTTCTAACCAACAGAATATGGCACAGGTGACAGGGTGTGCAGGACTATGTGCATGTGATTACATGATTTGTTATATAAGATTACAACATCTGGCCAGATGCGGCGGCTCACACCTATAATCCTAGCACTTTGGGAGGCCGAGGCGGGCTGATCACCTGAGGTCGGGAGTTCGCGACCAGCCTGACCAACATGGAGAAACCCTGTCTCTACCAAAAATACAAAACATAGCTGGGCGTGGTGGCACATACCAGTAATTCCAGCTACTCGGGAGGCTGAGGCAGGAGAATCGTTTGAACCAGAGGCAGAGGTTGCGGTGAGCCAAGATCATGCCATTGCACTCCAGCTTGGGCAACAAGAACGAAACACCATCTCAAAAAAAAAAAAAAAAAAAGATTGCAACACCCATCTTGCTGGAGTTTTTCTCCCTGTTGTTGGCTTGAGCCTTGCAAGCAGCTCTGCTGGTGAATCCTGCATGGCCAGGAACTGTGGGCAGCCTCTAGAAGCTGAAGGTAGCCTCCTGCCAACAGTCAGGAAGAAACAGAAGCCCTCAATCATACAGCAGCGAGGAACTGAATTCTGCCAACAACCTGAGTGAGTTTGGAAGTGGGTCCTTCCCCAGTCAAGCCTGAGATGATTCCACAGCCCCAGCCAACAACTTTTTTTTTTTTTTAGACGGAGTCTCACTCTGTGGTCTAGACTGGAGTACAGCGGCGTGATCTTGGCTCACTGCAACCTCCGCTTCCCAGGTTCAAGCAATTCTCTTGCCTCAGCCTCCCAAGTAGCTGGAATTAGAGGCCCGTGCCACCACGCCCAGCTAATTTTTGTATTTTTAGTAGAGATGGGGTTTCACCATGTTGGCCAGACTGCTCTTGAACTCCTGACCTTAAGTGATCTGCCCACCTTGGCCTCTCAAAGTGCTGGGATTAGAGGCGTGAGCCATCGTACCCGGCCCCAGCCAACAACTTGATTGCAGCCTTATGAGAGCCTGAACAGAGAAGCCAGCTAAGCCATGCCCAGACTCCTGCCCCAACAGAACTGTGAAGTGATAAATATGCATTGGTTTAAGCCACTAAGATTTTGGTACTATCACACAGCAATAGATAATAAACCATACATATGAAACTGGAAGAAAATACATACACCACAATGCTAACAGTGGTTACATTTGGGTATTTGGACTACGGATATTTTTTAAAATTTTCTAGATCCCAAATAGCCTCCAATATGCTTGCAATACCTACATAATGCTTGAAAGTTTTATAGAAGAAACTAGATGCAAAGATGCTGATCAGGGCTGGGCATGGTGGCTCACACCTGTAATCCCAGCACTTTGGGAGGCCGAGGCAGGAGGCACTGCTTGAGTCCAGGAGTTTGAGACCAGCCTGGGCAACATAGCAAGACCTCGTCTCTACAATTATTATTTTTTTAATTAGCCAGACATGGTGGCATGTGCCTGTAGTTTCAGCTACTCTGGGGGTCAAGGTAGGAGGATCACTTGAGCCCAGTAGTCCCAGACGAGCCTGGACCACATATTAGGTTGGTGCAAAAGCAATTGCGATTTCTGCCATTACTTTTAATAGCAAAACTGCAATTACTTTTCACCAACCTAATAGCAAGCCCTTGTTTCTAAAAAAAAAAAATTTAATTAGCCAGGAGTGGTGGCATGTGCCTGTAGTCCCAGCTACTCTGGGGGCTGAGACGGAAGGATCGCTTGAGCATGGGAGGTCGAGGCTGCTGTGGTGATCACACCACTGCACTCCAGCCTGGGCGATAGATCAATATCCTATCTCAAAAACAAAAACAAAATGCTTATCATGTCTGAACCCTCCACATACCCCAGGTACTAGATCCTGCCCTGTTGCAGAACTCACACAAAAACCGAGCCTACAGAGAGGCCTTACCTCCAGCCGAGTTGATGTCCTCCTCAAACATTTTCTCTATCTTGGCCAGGTGTATCTCAGTAAACAGCTGGGACCCAGGCTGGAGGTCGGGCACCTGGCTAAGGGTGATGGATGGTGTTGGGGAGCTAACAGCCTCCTTGTTCTGGAAGCTATGTGGGACAGACAGCTGAAACGAATATAACAAGAACCAGGGACTGAGTGTTTCAATTTCCTGAGCCAAACATTTTCAGCACATGATTTAAAGAGAGACTCTTTGAGAAAGAACAAGGTAAGTAGTGTTATGATGTTACTGACAGAAACACATAATTCTTTATTATTATTATTATACTTTAAGTTCTAGGGTACATGTGCACAACGTGCAGGTTTGTTATATAGGTATACATGTGCCATGTTGGTGTGCTGCACCCATTAACTCGTCATTTAGATTAGGTATATATCCTAATGCTATCCCTCCCCCCTACCCCCACCTCATGACAGGCCCTGGTGTGTGATGTTCCCCACCCTGTGTCCAAGTGTTCTCATTGTTCAGTTCCCACCTATGAGTGAGAACATGCGGTGTTTGGTTTTCTGTCCTTGCGACAGTTTGCTCAGAATGATGGTTTCCAGCTTCATCCATGTCCCTACAAAGGACATGAACTCATCCTTTTTTATGGCTGCATAGTATTCCATGGAGAAACACATAATTCTTAACCATTTTTAGACCTAAGAAGATAAAGAAAAATCTAGACTCTCCTGACTTTGGAGAGGGAACCATTGCTTCCCTTTTACAGATGCCACACGTGAGGCTCAAGGAGGATACGGCTAAGTCCTACCTTACTCATAACGGGGTGTTCATTTATAAGGGACCTCAGTTCAGTAACTATATCATTTCAAATCTTCAGTGGTCAGAATTCAGGACCCCAGGGGGCTGGGCACAGTGGCTCATGCCTGTAATCCCAGCACTTTGGGAAGCCGAGGAGGGCGGATCATTTGCGGTCAGGAGTTTGAGACCAGCCTGACCAACATGGTAGAAACCCATCTCTACTAAAAATACAAAAACATTAGCCAGGTGTGGTGGCATGTGCCTGTAGTTCCCACTACTCAGGAGGCTGAGGCAGGAGAATCACTTGAACCCAGGAGGTGGAGGTTGCAGTGAGCTGAGATTGTGCCACTGCACTCCAGCCTGGGCAACAGAGCAAGACTCCTCAAAAAAAAAAAAAAAAAAAAAAAAGACCCCAAGGAATCCAGCTCCATCTTCCCTAATTTGACCTGGTCCTGACCAGTCCAGATGTCCCATTTGGGTCAGATAAGCTCACCTGCCCCACCCCTGGCCTTGCTACCAACACACCAATGCTCAAATAGACCCCTCCACTGGGGGTTCTCCCTCACTTCCCCCTTCTACTCATCCTTCTCAGATCCCCCCCAAAAGCCTTCCCCACCCCTCTAGGCCTCATGATGCTTCCTCTCATCACTCCTCTGTGAGACTCATACAGATACTTAGCATTAGCTCAGGCCATCAAAGGCTGCCTCCCCTAAGACTCCAAACGTGGACAATTAGATGGCCTGAGTGGCAGGGAGGCAGTGCTGCTCACTGAGACACATTGCTTTGGGCCTTGGGAAGTTGAGAAGACTTTAGTTCAAAAAGACAAGAGACAAGGGATTGAATTGCTCACTCTCTCCACCTTAGCCCCAACTAAAGAGCAAATGTGCTTATCCTCCTGTGACCTTTCATTCATTTGCCAAGGGTCTACACACATTGACTGAGTGCCAGGCACTGTGGATACAGCACTGTGGATACACTGTGAACACAGTGAGGGTCCCTGCCTCCATGGAGCCCAACAGAGGAGCACGTGAAAGCTCTCACCACCCACCCAGGTCCCAGATTAGAAATCTCAGTACCACCTTCAGCTCTTCCCTCTTCCTCCTATGCATTCTACTGTCCCTCCAGTTAATTATTCCTGGGATCCATCACCTACATATAAGCCTCCTCTCCCACAACCCTGCTCGCCTCGAACTCTAGTCTTTTGCTGGGACAAGTACAATGACCACCACTAACTGAGACCAGAGTTTGGCCTTCTCTTCCCATCCACCTCCCAACACTGGCACCAGTCATCTTTCTAGGCAGCAATTTTTTTTTTTTTTTTTTTTTTTTAAACAGAGTCTCACTCTGTCACCCAGCTAGAGTGTGGCGTGATCTCAGCTCACTGCAACCTCTGCCTCCTGGGTTCAAGTGATTCTCCTGTCTCAGCCTCTCAAGTAGCTGGGACTACAGGCATAAGCCACCACACCCAGCTAATTTCTTGTATTTTTAGTAGAGTCAGGGTTTCGCCATGTTGACAAGGCTGGCCTCGAACTCCTGACCTCAGGTGATCCTCCTGCCTCAGCCTCCCGAAGTGCTGGGATTACAGGCATGGGCCACCACACCTGGCTTCTAGGCAGCAAATCTGATCAATGATTTTACTGTGACTCTGATACTCTTCACCCCAACTCCTGAGTGTAGCATTCAAAACACTTCCTAACCAGCTCTGACCTATCTTTCTAGTTTCAAGCATGCACCATGTGCCAGGCACACCACCTGCTCCCACCATCCCCAAGCCCAGCAAGCATTCCGTGCTTACTCACATTGTCTCCCATATACAATCCAGCCCGTCTCCCTCAGAGGTGAACCCCTAACCACTCTTCAGACTCTCGCTCAAATGGAGAGCTCTTCCATAACTTTCAGATGACAGTCATCACTGCCACCTCCCTATTCCCAGGTCTTTGTTCATATCTGCCCCTCAAGGCATAGTAAGTGTGCATGTCTGTCCATACATGTAGGCAGCAAGCCATGAGGGGAAGCACACGGCTACAAAGCCCCAGAGCTCAGGGTTGGAATTCTGTCTGGCTCCCCCACTTACAGGCTATTTTAACTTAGGTATATCACATCATTCTCTGAGCCACAGGTTTCCTCATCTGCAAAACAGAGAGCCACAGTCCCTACCTTGCAGGGTTGTGGTTGAGACCTAAATGACACCTGAATACATGTGAAGCCCTAGTAAACTGTAATTAATTAAATGACAGCTCTTGTTATTACTCCTTGTCTCATAGTAAGCTCTTCAAAGACAAGGCCATGTTTAACTTAATCTTAATCTAATTTGTATTAATTATCTCTATATTCCCCAGCCCCAAGCACATAACAGACAATACATACCTGGCTTGATAAAAACTCTTACAGCCCATCCCACCATTATCACAACCTGCTGGACAAAATTAAGTAGAGAAGTGGAGCCCATGTACAGACCGTACATCAGGGGGCTGTGTTGCATTTGACTCATGTAATTTTTTTGTTTTGTTTTTTTAGAGACCCGCTCACTTTGTTGCCCAGGATAAGTGCAATGGCGAGATCATAGCTGACTGCAGCCTTGACCTCCCAGGCTCAAGCAATCCTCCCACCTCAGCCTCTGGAGTAGCTGGGACCACAGGCATGTGCCACTATGCCCAACTAATTTATTTTTTACTTTTTGTAGAGATGGGGGTTTTACTATGTTGCCCAGGCAGGTCTCAAACTCCTGGGCTCAGCGATCCTCCTGCTTTCGGCCCACAAAGTACTGGGATTACAGGTGTTAGCCACCATACCCAGTTTCAGGCAGCCCTTTAAAAGTACACTTAGGTCAGGTGTAGTGGCTCATGCCTGTAATCCCAGCACTTTGGAAGGCCGAGGCAGGCGGTTCATGAGGTCAGGAGTTCGAGACCAGCCTGGCCAACATAGTGAAACCCTGTCTCTGCTAAAAATACAAAAATTACACCTGTAATTCTAGCTACTCAGGAGGCTGAGGCAGGAGAATTGCTTGAACCCGGGAAGCAGAGGTTGCAGTGAGCCGAGATGGTGCAACTGCACTCTAGCCTGGGCGACAGAGCAAGACTCTGTCTCAAAAAAACAACAAAAAAAGTACACTTAAGTTACCTGCCTGGTAAATGTCTGAGTATGCAACCCCCTCCCCAATGCAGAAACCACTGTCCTTCCATGCTGGTAAGTGAGGTTTTGGGTGACTCTGGAATGCCCCACCCTTTATTAGTCCAGATAATTGTCTTACCTTTTGGAGTTGAGGGATCTCTGCTAAGTCTTCAGAAGACATTAGTCTTGACCTAGAATAGGGAATCATAGTCAACTTAACTCCAGTCGTTGTAAGGACCACATGGAAGGTTGACTTAGCCAGGTCACAAAAAGGTGGAAAAGAAGTCAAGGTCAAGGGAGAGGGTGGCTGCACCTTGCCCATGGACACTCCCAGCAAGCATTTGATGAGCATCCCTTTTCCCAGAGATTTCTCCAGCAAAAAGCTTTTGCCAAGCTTGCATCTGAGCCTTTCCTCCCCTGATACACAGGAGTTGTCCTGCAGAAGCCATGGGGTTTCACAAGTTTCTTTACTCCTGACTTAATGCCAGAGGCTTTCTAAAGAGGATCACACTTTCTACAGAAGTAGAAGAATCTTAGGAGGCCATGTGGTAGTACAAGTACAATAAACAGATTAGAAAAATAAGGCCCCCTCATTTCTGCTGCATATACCCTCCCCACCCGCCTTCCAGTGCCCTTGCAAGTCAGGACTTCGGGAGAGCAGACAGAACAGAGCTCTTCTCTGGGAATATAAAGGGAACGTTTCTATTGGGTCAGCAAGGCCTCCATATGAGATAGATGACAGAGTTTTGTTAGGGTCATTGGAGCACCAATCCACCTTGTCAGCAAGTCCCACCAGGCAAGAGTCCAGAGGGCACTCTAGGATGGCAGGTGGACAGCCAAGAAATAGTTAAGCCCAGGACATGCATAGGAGACAGACCAAGTGAGCCAGCTTGGCTTGACCTGAAGGGCCCTGGGGGCAGAAGGGAGGAAGAAATCATGGGAGAGAAGAAAAAAAAAAAAAAATTGGCAGCAGAAAGTAGAATCTTGAATACCTGGCCAGTCTGAATAAAATGAAGGGCAACTATGAAAGTTCACCAGCAGCCAGGTGCAGTGACTCACAGCTGTAATCCCAGCACTTTGGGAGGCCAAGGCGGAAGGATCACCTGAGGTCAGGAGTTCAAATGAGACCAGCCTGTCCAACATGGTGAAACCCTGTCTCTACTAAAAATACAAAAAATTAGCCAGGTGTGGTGGCAGGTTCCTGTAATCCCAGCTACTTGGGAGGCTGAGGCAGGAGGATTGCTTGAACCTGGGAGGCACAGGTTGCAGTGAGCCAAGATCGAGCCATTGTACTCCAGCATGGGCGACAAGCGCAAGACTCTGTCTCAAAAAAATAAAAAATAAAATTCATCAGCACAAGCTGGAGGGAGAAGACTGAACGGTACCCAAGAATGCTCTAATCTAGCAGTGTCTTGGCAACAGCTCACACCTAAGGACCAAAGGAGAGAGGACAGCCTAAAGGAAGGAGATTTGGAAGCCAAGAACCAAGTTAACAGAAATGCCAGAACCACTTCCAGAAAAAGGAGCAAGGAGGGAAAGTGATTTAATGCATGTGATACTAGGCTGTCCAGTTAGGAATAAAAAAACAGGCCGAGGCAGGAGGATCACTTGCATCCAGGAGTTTGAGACCAGACTGGGCAACACTGAGACCCCATTTCTACAAAAAATCCAAAATTAGCCAGGTGTGGTGGCACACACCTACGTGCCCAGCTACTCAGGAGGCTGAGGTGGGAGAACTGCTTGAGCCCAGGAGGTTGAGGCTGCAAAGAGCTGAGATCGTACCACTACACTCCAGCCTAGATGACAGAGTGAGACCCTGTCTCAAAAAAAAAAAAAAAAAAAAAAAAAGAAAAGAAAAAGAAATAATAAAAACGAATACCTGGAAATCTGGGGACTGAAACTTGAGTGGCTACAGAAAGAGGAAGAAACACACAAGACAGCTAGGAGAATGGGATGCTACAAAGTGAACTAAGGTGATAAGGGAAAGAAACGGCCATTGAAAAAGGCAATTAAGAGGTTACCAGTGAAAAAGCTGAAGTGTATGTAAAATGTTAAGTCCATTTCTGTTAAGAATATATGCATGTACATGTTGGCACATGCATAAAAAAAGAGCCTGGAAACATATACTCCAAAATTAATGGCAGTCATCTCTGGCAGGTGAGATTATGGAAGATGTTTATAGCCTAAATCATGCAGTTCTGATTTTTAATTAAAAAAGGGTTCATGGCAATCTTTTGAGATGGGGTCTTGCTATGTTGCCCAAGCTGGTTTTGCACTCCTGGGCTCAGCTGATCCTCCCACCTCAGCCTTCCAAGTAGCTGGGACAACAGGCGCATGCCACCACACCAGGTTCATGGCAATCTTTAAAACGTGTTTCAATGGCTGGGCGCAGTGACTCATTCCTGTAATCCTAGCACTTAAGGAGGCTGAGGTGGGCAGATCACCTGAGATTGAGAGTTCAAGAACCGGCCTGACCAACATGGAGAAACCTCGTCTCTACTAAAAATACAAAGTTAGCTGGGTGTGGTGGTGGATGCCTGTAATCCCAGCTACTCGGGAGACTGAGGCAGGAGAACTGCTTGAACCAGGAGGGGGAGGTTGCGGTGAGATCGCACCATTGCACTCCAGCCTGGGCAACAAGAACACAACTCCGTCTCAAAAAAAATAAAATAAAATGTGTTTCAGTGGAGTGGGTAGGATGGTGGGTAGTAATTTAAATGACTCCTTTGTGAAAGGCCACTGTTGAAGAGTGATTGCTGCAGCATCATTCATAGGAGCAAAAACCAAAAGTGAACCATTATAGAGAAATGAATGAATCAGTGCACCTGCACCTAGGACATCACCTAAACATCAGAAGGATGAATCTGACCTCCAGCAGCTAAGAGAGATTTCCATGAAGTACTAATAAGAAAAGCAAGATGCAGGCCAGGCACAGTGGCTCACATCTATAATGCCAACACTTTGGGAGGCCAAGGCAGGAAGATCGCTTGAGTCCAGGAGTTCGGGACCAGCATGGACAACATGGTGAAACCCCATCTGTACAAAACATACAAAAAATAAGCTGGGTACGGTGGCACTCACCTGTAGTCCCAGCTACTCAAGACAGTGAGGTGGGAGGATTACCTGCATCCAGGAGTTCGAGGCTGCAGTGGACTGTAATTACAACACTGCACTCTGAGGCCTGGGTGACAGAATGAGACTTTGTCTCAAAAAAAAAAAAAAAAAAAAAAAAAAAAACAAGATGCAGAAAAGGTGCATAGTATGATGCCAATTTTTATGAAAGAATGAAAAAATAGGCCGGGCACAATGGCTTACGTCTGTAATCCCAGCTACTTGGGAGACTGAGGCCCAAGAATTGCTTGAACCCAGGAGGTAGAGGTTGCAGTGAGTTAAGATTGTGCCATTACGCTCCAGCCTATGCGAAAGAGTAAGACTCCATCTCAAAAAAAAAAAAAAAAAAAAAAAAAAAGGTTGCCACCATCAACAATGCGGCCAAATTACATCCTCTGATCCAATACATGGAGGGCACATTGCTTCAGTCGTATTACTGCCAAAAAAAATACATCTGAATCTAATCATAAGGAAACAGACAAACCCAAATTACAGGATCTTCTACAAAATAACTGGTTTTTTGTTTGTTTGTTTGTTTTTTTGAGTGTCTGTCACACGGGCTAGAGTGCAGTAGCTCAATCTTGGCTCACTGCAACCTCCACTTCCCAGGTTCTGATGATTCTCATGCTTCAGCCTCCTCAGTAGCCGGGATTATAGGCGCCTGTCACCACACCCGGCTAACTTTTGTATTTTTAGTAGAGACAGGGTTTCTCCATGTTGCCCAGGCTGGTCTCGAACTCCTTGGCCTCCAGTGCTTTCCGCCCACCTTAGCTTCCCAAAGTGCTGGGATTACAGGTGTGAGTCACCACACCTGGCCAAAATAAAATGCCATGTAAACCAAAGAAAGGCTAAGGAACTGTTAGAGATGAAAGGTGACTCAAGAGACCCAACAACTGGCTGGGCGCGGTGGCTCCCGCCTGTAATCCCAGCACTTTGGAGGCTAAGGCGGGCGGATCACGAGGTCAGGAAATCGAGACCATCCTGGCTAACACGGTGAAACCCCGTCTCTACTAAAAATACAAAAAATCAGCCGGGCGTGGTGGTGGGTGCCTGTAGTCCCAGCTACTCAGGAGGCTGAGACAGGAGAATGGTGTGAACCCGGGAGGCGCAGCTTGCAGTGAGCTGAGATCGCGCCACTGCACTCTAGCCTGGGCAAAAGAGCGAGACGCTATCTCAAAAAAATAAAATAAAAAATAAAAGAGAGATCCAACAACTAAAGGCAATGCACTATTCTGAATTGAATCCCAGACTGGGAAAAAACAAAAATGCTGTAAGGACTGCTATTCTCGGTGAAATTATGTAAAATTTGAACGTGGACTCTACATTATATTAATGTTTTCTGCTTTTGATAACTGTAGTGTGGTTATGAGAATGTCCTTGTTCTCAGGAAATGTGCACTTAAAAGTATTTAGGAGTAAAAGGGCATGATGTTTGTTAATTCTCAAATGGTTTAACAAATACATAGGCCAGGCGCGGTGGCTCAAGCCTGTATCCCAGCACTTTGGGAGGCCAAGACGGATCATGAGGTCAGGAGATCGAGATCATCCTGGCTAATACGGTGAAACCCCGTCTCTACTAAAAAAAAAAAAAAAAAAAAAATACAAAAAACTAGCCGGGCAAGGTGGCGGGCGCCTGTAGTCCCAGCTACTCGGGAGGCTGAGGCAGGAGAATGGCGTGAACCCAGGAGGCGGAGCTTGCAGTGAGCTGAGATCCGGCCACTGCACTCCAGCCTGGGCGACAGAGCAAGACTCTGTCTCAAAAAAAAAACAAAAACAAAAAAACAAATACATGTATAACAACACAAATGCAGCAAAATGTTCACAGTTAGTCTAGACAAAGGGAAGTTCTCTGTAGTAGTCTAACAACTATTTATATATTTTTAATTATTTCAAAACTAAACGTTTTGTAAGAGAAATGTCTTTCACCAGGAGAAAGTGGTTCTATGTATGCTCATGAACAGAGGTAAAATGCCAATTGGAAAAAAAAAAATGCTGGTTGCTGGCAAAAGAGACCACCCAAAAGAAAAGGGCAGGAGTAAGAGGGGAGAGGCCAAGACAAGTACCATTCCTCCAACTCGGAAGGGAAGCAAGGGAAGGATGAGATATAAAACTCAGCTGATATTCAGAATTGGAGAACAGGTCAGATCAGAAGTCACACCCATCTGCCTCAATCTGTTCCCTAAAGTTGACCTGTCCGGAGCTTATGGAAGAGGGGCAGGGTAAGGCAAGTGGGGAGAGTACCATCTGGAACAGGGGTGAGAATTCAGAGCAGCCACTAGGGGAACATGCTAGGGATTAAAGGGGAATGAGTGGTTTGTAGGAATTTGTAGAGGCAGATGACTTAAGGATACGCGCATTGAAAGCCGGTCAGGACACAGGTAAGAGCTGCTCTCCAGCCTTGGAGCTCAGGCAGAGGTCTTCAGCAGAGGTATCCAATCTTTTGGAGTGTAACTTTCACCCAACACCCCCACTCACCCTGACTCAATTTGATCTCCCCGGTTAATCTTGCTGGCAAAGTGCTATCACTTTCCAACTCCCATCTCAACAAAGACATCGGCAGCTGTTCCCAGTCCAAGACAGCTCCTTTATGAAGTCGAGATGGAACTCTGGGTCTGCTGGTCACATTTAGAACCACGGAAATGAGACAGAATTCCATATGAAGAACATAAATGAAGCATCAGAACCCAGCCCACAAACCGTAATCACAGAACCATTTTTCATCCAATTTCTTTTATTGAAGAAGTTGAACTTACAGGAGACAGTGAAAGGAGCTACAGCACAAACAGGACAAACACAGATACAAAATAATACATAAAACAAGTAGTAGGAAACTGGAAGATGCCAGGGAGTCCTCTTAAAAAGCAGGGTTCACCAAAACCAAAAGACCAACTGGCTCCAGGACAGTGAAAGGCACAGTACCTCCTCTGCCCTCTGCGTAAGCTCCAATTCTTTGAAAATAAGAAGGAGACAAGTGTTATGTGTGAAATTGGGGACTTACAAATCCAGACTT